TTTCCGAGCAGGCTCTCGGCTAACAGCGAACATCCAGCTGAACAGACGCAGTCCTGTTGTTGCAGCTTTCGCTTGTGCCAACGACAACACACCAGGCAATCACATAATCAAGCGTGGCTGTGATGGCTTGCTTGTTTGGGAAACAGATCCTCCTCCTCCTCCTCCTCCTCCTCCTCCTCCTCCTCTTCCTACAGTCGTCCCCTCTAGAGGTCCCCGCGCCGCCCTCCACGAAAGAGCAGAGGGCCCCGAAGAAGACGGGCCCTGCGGGGCCCCGGGACCAGCCCTGCTCCCCCTGCGAGCCGCTGCTTCGACGGCCCCGGGGCCCCCGGGGCCCTGGAGGGCCCGTAGGGGGCCCGAGAACAGCCCTCGGGGACATACTGACCCGAGTCAATCCAAACCGGGGTCAGTCAGGGGCTGGGGGCCTTCCGCACCGAGTCAGGCTGCCCCCACAGACATCCTCCACTTGCCATCGCTCGGACGTCCACTCCCCGTGCATTTGTCAACTTCGTGCGTACTCCTGTTGCCAGGATGATGCTGGATGCTCTTCGATGGACCTCGCCGAAGAAAAAATGTACACGTCCGAGCGATGCCACATTCAAGAGGTTGCTGTTCGAATTCCGGAACCTTCTGACCATGGTCAATTCAAGCCCAGGTCAGTCAGGCGTTGCAGTACTCTGAAAGATCCCGCATATTCGTAGGATCGCGCCGCATCGGCGATGCATCGGCTGGCGAGGCGTTGGCGCCATCGGCGTGGAGAAAGTCGGGCTGCACATCGAGCCGCACCGCCGATGCATCGCCGATGCGGCGCGATCCTCCGACCCTGTCTGCTCGAACCCCACCTGGGAGGCCTAGGATCCTGCACCAAAACACCTGGGTCAGTGCGCCGCGGGCCCTGCAGGATACTACCCCAGTTTTTCCATGGATCCTGGTCTCTCGAGCCCCGAAGCCCAAACCCTCTGCGGCCTCCAGGGGCAGCTCTCCTTTCGTCCTGGCTCCACGCTTGACGGCCCCGGGGCCCGATGACTGAGCCCGGTGGCCGACGTGGAGGAAGGACGCACAGGTTGAAGAACTCACGACGTCGGAGGTCCGGGTTCCCCTCCGTGGAGCAGGGACCGACCGCCCCGGCATTCCTGTAGGCCTACCACGGCCTGTTCGCATACCAGAAGTATGTCCTGGCTACAAAAGGCAGTGCTCTTAGAACCGAATGCCGATGCATTGAAAAGAACACTTCGTGCAAACCACAGCCGGGTCTTAGAACTGTCTTTGGTGGGCCTAGAGGCACACGAGGGGCCCAGCCACAGCTTGACTCAGGGGCCCCTGACGGCGGCCTCCGCCGCCTCGCGAGGCGGCTGGGCGCAAAGCTCCTTCTTCCGCGAGAGCGCCACGGTTGGGCGTCCTCCCCTCGCGAGAGCGGGCGCCGCGTCAGGGGGGTCTGCGCAGATGAGCCAAACCAGAGACACACGACAGGTTCGTGGCGTGACGACACTGGCGCTGGCTTCTGACACCACGCGGACCGTTCGCTCATCCCTTGTCGATCGGCAACGCTTCGAGCGCCAGATCGTTCTGAGAATTGGTCAAATTCTGGGCCACTGGCGGCGTTCACCCCTGAGCGCTCGCGTCGACAAGAAAAACGAACCTTCCGTAAAAACATAACCTGTCCGAGGTCCGCGCGGATTTCTTGGATCGGTGGATGGGCGCTGGACCCCCCGCCCTGGCGCGCGGAGCGCGCCAGCGGCGGCGCCGGAGGCGCTGCCAGGGGGCTCTCCAGCGATGATCCGACAAGTCCGCGCGGTCCTCTCGAAGGCTTATGCTCATGAGCATCGTTTCACCGAGCCCTATCCCCATGTGCGTGGCCGGGCCCACACTGGCCGATGTTCCCGCTTCCCATATGGACGTGGCCTGGCCCACACTGGTCGGTTTGCCTGCCTATAGCTGGGAACGTAGGCCGTTTCCATCGGGTTTCGGAGGGTAGATCCCCGGCTGGAGTGCTGAGATGGTCGGGGTCTGGATGGGGATGCCAGCAAGGGGTGATTGAGATCATGGGACGTTTCACTGAAGCGAGCGCGCACAATAATCACATGGCATTACTAAACTTGCCGTGGCCAACGGATTCCGCTATGCTATAGTCTCACATCGTCGTGATTGCTTACTTGATTGGAAGCGGAGCGACGGAGATAGGGATGGTGTGCATTTTCCTAGTCGGTGCTTCGATATTGGGCGGAAGGGAAGGTGTTGGGGGGAGTGCCTGGCTCTGGACCTCTGCTTAATGCGACTGTTCGAAACCGTGCGTCCTCTGCGGGGGACTTTGCCTGCTTGAAGTAGGCGTCCAAAACAGCCAAGATCGGGGGAGAGAGGGTGCGAGGGCCCGCGCCGATCGGCAAAACAACGAATAAGATAACTAACGCCTGCACTGGCTCGAGATGGGGGCCTGGGCTGGCTGGTGAAACGACACTGAATTCATGCCTGTTTGTTTTGGCTCCCCTCCGGTGGCAACTCATGGGAGACTCCCATACCATCCTATCGGCTCGTGCGAGTCGACGCTAGTAAACGCTGACGCTAATCGACACTCATCGACGCTAAAGACAGACTTACGAGAGGAATACGAGGCTTGTGGAAGTCGCGCCAATAGACACTCTGACCGTTGTATCATTGAACTAAGAATATCGTTCAATTGTCTTCTACATGTTAACAATAGGTTCGAACATGGTTCAAACACGTCTCATCACTCTGAGGACACGTTTGAAACATGATTGAGACATCTGGCAGTTAGTTGGCAACATGCCTCCTCTCCATTACACAGCCGTGACAAAAGTTCCTTCAATTTGCTATGATGAAGATCTCTCCCATCCCTCTCAAGATTCCTAACATGGCATGATGCTGGGGTCATTCGACGCAGTAGTTTCCGATCCCTGAGACGTTAATAACTCTGTTACCCCAAAACGGGATCGGAAACTACTCCGCGCCGAACCATACGATTTATCGAGCGGGATGCGATTGCGCGCGGAGTAGTTTTAGTTACACTACTCCGAACTACTCCGCACGAGCGCGTCATTCCAAGAGGCGAATTGAAAGAAATTTTCGTCACGGCGATGTATTCGTCTTCCGCAGCACAAGGCTCCCACGACTTGCTGCCGAACCCCTCCGAATTACCTCCGAGGGGGAGGCGCCCCGGCCGCGCGCAGTCGCGCCTCAGGCGCGCGTCGCGGCCAGCCTCCCGGGGCCCGCGCGGAGGTCCTCCGCCACCTCGTCCAGGATGCGCTGCCTCCGGAGATACCTCAGGGAGGGGGAGGAGGAGGGGGAGGAGGAGGAGGAGGAGGAGGAGGAGGAGGAGGAGGAGGAGGAGAAGGAGGAGGAGACAAGGAGAGGAGAGGAGGCGGAGTGGGGGGAGGAGGAGGGAGGAGGAGGAGGAGGGAGGAGGAGGAGGAGGAGGATGAGGAGAAGGAGGAGCAAGAAGCTTCAAGGAGAAGGAGGAGGAGGAGGGGAGGAGGAGGGGAGGAGGAGGATGTGGAGGAGGAGGAGGAGGAGGAGGAGGAGGAGGAGGAGGAGGAGGAGGAGGAGGGGAGGGGAAAGGGGAGGACCAGCTCAGAGGGGGGAAGGGGGACTTTTCAGGTTCGAGGTTCTCGGGCGAGTTCGTCGGTTCTCGTGGGCTCTCCAGGCTCGGGGTGCCTTCCAGCGGCCGCGACTCGAAGAAGAGCTTGCCGGGAGTGCCTGGATCGTCCCGAACGGCCGCGGAAGGCCCGAGGTGTGACCCGCAAACAACCAGTGGACCAGCTCAGGGGGGAAAACATTGTGCTGGAATCGGCGGTACATCGCCGATGACTCGGCGATAGGCCCCCAGTAGCGAATCCGCATCGGCGATCAGTGGGCGAATGGGGCTGAATGCATCCCCGTCTCCAGAGGTCGACCAAATCAAACCCCGTCCGACAGCGGGCTTGTCAACCCCCGTGGCCAGCTGACACCTGGACGACTCGGCGCGCTGGTTGGCGACGCGCAGAGGGGGGTAGGGGGAGAGGAGAAGGCTTCTTAGGAGGCTGCGTCTTAGAAGGCCCGGGACTTTACGTCTACTGAGAAGGCCCGTGCCTTCTCTGATTGGGGGCGACCAAGAGGGGGGCGGCCAAGAGGGGGGCGTCCAAGAGGGGGGGGCGCAAATCATGGCAGGCGGCATGTGCGCGGTCCAAGGGGGGGGCTGGGGACGTATTGGAATAAGAAGTCTGACGCGAGGCCACGCTTCAGATTTCCTGGCGCCTCCGCCGCCTTTGAGACAGTTTCCTCTGTCTTGGGGGGAGGCCTCGAAAACTTCGCAGAAGGCTGGGTGGGCTTCCGAGCCTTCTGAATAGCCCCGCCCCCTCTCAATCCCCTCCAGGGTTAGATCGGGCATGTCTTCCTACTGGAGTATTCTGCAAGAAAAATGAAAAATTGCAGAACCATCTTCAAAGTAGTCCAAAATAGTCCAGATATCGTTTCCTGACTATCATTTTGCCTATGTTTGAATATTCCTCCTGTAGAGGGACATGCCCGACTTAACCCCAGGGCGCGCCGCCGAACAGCAGCGCAGAGGCGACGAGGCGGGCCGAGGAACACAGGGCGACACGGCCTATGCACAGCCGCTGCTCCCTGGCCACAGGCCCATGCTGAACCCAGCAGCGGCGTGTACACCACGCCCTCCTGGCCGGGCCAGGAGGGCGTACCCCGAGATCCTGGCGATGCAGCTCTTTTCTCACAACGGGCGGTTGTTCGCCCAACTTCGGGCCCTGGGCCCTCACAGATCGATCCGGCTCGAAAAAGTGCTCCGGTGGTGATTTGTTTCGATGCTGCATTTTTTGGGCAACGTCGGATCTCAGGGTGTAAGCAGCTCCTGGGTTCAGGATGGGCCTGGCCGGGGAGCAGTGGATATGTACTGACTTCGTCGCCCGAGGATCAGGAGAAGCACGGCCTGGAAATCCTTAGAAAGACAGGAGAGCACCGCCGTGTGCACACTAGTGCAGATTTGCACAAGACATCGTGGCCGCCCTGGGAAAGGGGCAGGATCGTTCAACATCGAATCGGGAACTCGGATCGACTTGGAAAATGTGTCGGATCGGGCCGCATCGGCACGGAGTCGAAATCGAGGATCGGCTGCGCCAGGATGAACAACAGCGACACGTGAGCATCGGGCCGCATCGGATTTTCAGGACATCGAGATCGGAATCAAATCGGAGCAATCGGATCGCAGTGGGGCCTGAAGGGGTTGAGAGGCCCATGGGCCCCACGCATCGAACAAGCGAAACACTGGATATGTTGGACGCCCGATCCCAGCCCTGATGATTCCGGAGGGTTGGACGCCCGAGTTATCAGGGATATTCCTGGGTAGCTCCGGTTTGGGCCGCCGAGGCACGGTTGTGTAGTTATCCCTGGCCGCCCCCAGCCCTGATGATCCGGGGCTCCGAACGTGGGTGGGTGGGGAGCGCGGGGGCAGCTGTGGCTGCCGCGGGCAGCACGGGCAGGACGCTGGCGAGGCCGAGGAGGATGAGGCACAGCATTAGGTCCGGCATGTTTTCCGGCAGGCGGATTCTTGAGGAACAAATGCTCAAAATCGTCAAAAAAAAAAAAAAAAAAAATCGTCAATTACTCCGACGGAAGGACCCCGCATGATAATCTGTTTAGCTTTCCCTTATCCCTTTCCTCCCGGCCATGGCAAACACCCTCGTATCGCCCTCTCCTCTGCCATCTTTTCCTCTTTTTCTATTTCCCCCCCCTCCTTCTCCTCCTCCTCCTCCTCCTCCTTCTCCACCTCCTCCTCATCATCGCCCTCCCCATACCCCTTCCGTCCTCATCCTCCTCCTGCCTCTTTTCCACGTGCACGTCCCTTTCCCCCCGGTCGGGGGAAGCAAGTCGATTTTCCTCGGCGCCGTCGCCGCCTCGGTCAGAACGCGCGCGTTTGCCGACGGCCAGATCGCGAAGCCGTCGGGTCAACCCTTCGGGCCAGCCATGCCTGCGGGGCACTCCCGCGGGCCGCCGGAGCGCGAGGGCAGGCCGTCGGGACAACCCCGCGGGCCAGGCCGTTGGGACAACCCCGCGGGCCTCCTCGCGCGCGCCGCGGCGCTCAGGCGGGCGGCAGCACGAAGCCCAGCTCTGCCGCGAGCTGCTCCGCTTCAGCCCTGGAGTCCACCGCTCTCTCGTCGAACTCCTGGAGCGCCTTCCGCAGTGACGCCGGCGGCCCGCGCTCCAGGAACTCTCGCGCGGGCGGCCGCAGGATCAGCATGTTCCGCATGCACGTGGCGCGGGAGAACATGACGTAGAGGTGCAGCCACCACATATCGTCCGACATGCCCGTGCGGCCAGCGTCCTCATCCCTGGCGCAGTCGATGGTGACGCCCTTGCGCAGCGTCTGGCCCTGCGACAGCGTGGAGGTCAGGTAGGACGCGTGCGTCAGCGTGAATCCCGAGCGGCGCACAGTGTGCGCCCCCGAGCTCTGCCACGTGAACTCCTGCTCGCTGGGCCTGAACATGAGCAAGCTCCTCGCCCGCGCCTGGGCCTCGCCGTCGTCGTCAGCGCCCTCGGTGCCCTGCAGCAGCACCTCGGCGACCTCCTTGTAGATCGGGGACTCCTGGAAGCCGTGCACATGCAGCCAGATTCCCTGCGGTAGGAAGCGGGGGCGGAAGAGCTGGCCCGGCGCGCACTCCTCGTAGTCCCGCTCGTCGTCTGCGTGAAACTCGAAGGACACGATGGTGGCCCGTTGCTCCTGCACGAGCCCCAACTTCTTCTTCAGCTCCTCCTGCACGGCCGTGAACCGGACCTCCATGCCGACGTGTGCCGGTAAGACGCCGTGGATGTCCCCCGTCTTGTGCATGTTCGGGACGTTCAGGAGGCGCCGGCCTGCGTCTGGTTCGCCTTGAATCGTGCCGCACTCGTCTACGGCCTGCAGGAAAACGAGGGGGACGCCGAGGCGCCGCGCGTCGCGACGAGCGCGCGTGTTGATCCACCTCGCCAGCGTCTCCCAGTAGATGCCCATGCCGTAGCCGAGCCGAAAGTTCTCGTGCTGGTGCCGAGGGTCCAGGACGCCGTGGTTGTCAGAGGCCAACGTCTTCTCCCAGGCAGACCAGACCTCTGGTGGGAAGCGCTTGCCCTCGCGCATGCAGCCCAAGAACGCGATCAGAGGGTCCCCCGGCTCGAAGCGCTTCGTGCCCTTCAGCTCGAAGACGCAGGGGATCTGAGAGAATACCCTGATGGCGTGCTGGATCTCCACCGTCGGCGGCTCCGCGTACTTGTACGACCCGTCGTCCAGGAGCTCGTTCACGTCCGTCCTCCTCCTCCCTCCTCCTCTTCCTCTGCAGGAAATCCCCGGGTGCCCCCGATGGGGACCCCCTCCTGGTCCTGCTCCTCTTGTTCCTCCTCCCTCCTCCTCCTCTCCTCTCTCCCTCCCTCTCCTTCCTCCTAGCCTCCTCCTCCTCCTGCCCCTGCTCCCTCCCTTCCTCCTCCTGCCTACCTCCTCCTCCTCCTCCCCTCCTCCTCCTCCTCCTCCTCCTCCAGGACCCCCGGGCACGTGCATCTATGAAAAACTCTCTCAAATGCTAATTGTTTCATAATGAAAATAGGGCGTTGCGTCGTTTTCGTTCTCGAGGGGCCGTTTTCGTGACGCATGCCAAAGAAAAACGTACATTGCGTTCCATCCCCCTATGGGGAAATTGCAAAATGTGCTGCTCGTCATCCGCAATCATCGATTTCAAAGCGTTTCGTGAGGGTTTTCCATCGAGCGCCCGCGCCAGGCTCAGCTCCGTTTCCGGCCAACGCGATTCCTCCCCCGACGCCCGAGAAAAAAATTGCGTTAGTGACCCCTTAGTCCATTGAAACATCGGTGTTAGGAAAAGGGGGGGTCAGAAAAAAACTGGAGAGGGGACCTTTTCAAGTTCCCTCTCCAGTTGGAACGCGCGGGAAAGTGAACCTCTGCAAGTTCCCTTTCCCGCTGCTGGAGAGGGAACCTTTTCAAGTTCCCTCCCCAGTTGGAACGCGCGGGGAAGTGAACCTTTGCAAGTTCCCTTTCCCGCTGCTGGAGAGTGAACCTTTGCAAGTTCCCTCTCCAAGGGAAAGTGAACCTTTTCAAGTTCCCTTTCCCGCGAATGAAGGGTGAACCTTGTCAAGTTCCCCCTTCACTCCGACGACAAGGGGGGACAGGGAACCTTTGCAAGTTCCCTCTCCCGCAGCTAGAGACGTCGAACCTTTTCAAGTTCCCTCTCCAGCCCAATCCTGCCACGAACGGGAAAGTGAACCTTTTCAAGTTCCGTCTCCCGCAGCTAGAGAGTGAACCTTTTCAAGTTCCCTCCCCAGCCCAAACGAACGCGGGAGAGTGAACCTTTTCAAGTTCCCTCTCCCGCCGACGACGACAAGGCTGGCCAGCAATTGGACGTGGGCAAGTCGAAAGAGAATATTCAGGCCGCAGGAGCGAGTTCCCCTTCGATCCTCCAAGTGACGACAAGAGACGGTCCTCAGACGGGACTACCCGCACCGCCCACAGACAAAGGTCCCGCTTGATACTTCCCCCTTGTTCAGGCCGCAGGAACTGAGGAGCCCAAAAAGCTCGCTCGGATGACCCGCTCGAGTTCGAACATGAAGTGCGTGCCCCACAGGGATGGAGCGCCCGCCTGATACTTCTCCCATATTCAGGCCTCAGGAGCCCAAAAGCGACGACAGTTACAGGATTCCGATGGCCCGCCTCGGATTAGTAACATGATCTGGGGGCCCCATAGGGAGGAGACCCCCGCCTGAGACTTCCTCGCAATTCACTCACAGACGAGGCTCCCGCCTGATACTTCCTCAAAATTCACGCCCCAGGAGCCCAAAAGTGACGACAGTTACAGGATCCCGATGACCCGCCTCGGATTGGTAAGATGATCTGCGGGCCCCATAGAGAGAGGCTCCCGCCTGAGACTTCCTCGCAATTCACTCACAGACAACGCTCCCGCCTGATACTTCCTCCAAATTCACGCCCCAGGAGCCCAAAAGTGACGACAGTTACAGGATCCCAATGACCCGCCTCGGATTAGTAAGATGATCTGCGGGCCCCATAGGGAGAGGCTCCCGCCTGAGACTTCCTCGCAATTCACTCACAGACGACGCTCCCGCCTGATACTTCCTCCAAATTCACGCCCCGGGAGCCCAAAAGTCACGACAGTTACAGGATCCCGATGACCCGCCTCGGATTAGTAAGATGATCTGCGGGCCCCATAGGGAGAAGCTCCCGCCTGAGACTTCCTCGCAATTCACTCACAGACAACGCTCCCGCTAGATACTTCCTCCAGATTCACGCCCCAGGAGCCCAAAAGTCACGACAGTTACAGGATCCCGATGACCCGCCTCGGATTAGTAAGATGATCTGCGGGCCCCATAGGGAGAGGCTCCCGCCTGAGACTTCCTCGCAATTCACTCACAGACGACGCTCCCGCTAGATACTTCCTCCAGATTCACGCCCCAGGAGCCCAAAAGTGACGACAGTTACAGGATCCCGATGACCCGCCTCGGATTAGTAAGATGATCTGCGGGCCCCATAGGGAGAGGCTCCCGCCTGAGACTTCCTCGCAATTCACTCACAGACGACGCTCCCGCTTGATACTCGAGTGAGTGACGGACTGACTGAGTGATGTGTGACGCCAACGGATGATATCCTCATGTGATGATCATGATGAGTGAGTGAGTGAGTGAGTGAGTGAGCGATCGAGTGGTGTATGGGTAAGTGTGATGGTGCTGAGGAGGAGAGGCGTGGGTCATGATGATGATGACTGATGATGATGATGGCGAGAAAGAGGAAGAGAGAGAGAGAGAGAGAGAGAGGGTGTGAGATCCTGCGCGGGGGGTGTGCAGAGAAAACAAGAACCCCACTTTGGATGTGGGGAAAAATAGCAGAGAACTCGCCCCCAGACTAGTTCTTGACTGTTCTTGAATTTTCCTCCTGTAGTGAGACATGACCGACTTAAGCACAGCCTCCAGGGAAGGATGCTACTGATCACGACCCGCTGGGACGGGCGCGGGGGCTGCTCAGGAATTGCGGTGCTGCTCAGTGGATGCCAAGGTGGGGCACAACCCCACCCCCCGGATATTGAAGCATCCCCCCCTTTCCCCTTGTGTCTCTTGATCCACGGGGTTGAATGTGGTTCCATTGAAGAAGCAGGCGGGAAGGCCGAACTTTACAATCCCTTCCAAAACTCCTGTCGTAGCTCTGATTGCGAGGATGTCTGAGGTGAAACCTAACCCACATACCCTAACATCAATATCTCCGGGGAACCAATACATTTCCGCCTGGACCCAAATTTGATCTATGCCCAGGGGATTATTCTCACGAGGTTACGGCTACCTGGCCTGACCTAGATTAGAAATATGTTACCATTGTCCCAAATGGCTTGGGGGAAACAGGTAGCTCAGCTAAGTGGGCAGAACTGACGTAGACCGGATCGCAAACCGCCCGGGACAACCGGGACAAGTCATGCTGATTAAAGATGACAAGACCGCCTACCCCGCACAGCCCCTTGGACAATCCAGCGGGGATCCGGTAACCCTCCGTGACAATGCCCTTTGGACAAGTCTCCCCGGGATTTTTCCTCCATGAGGTAGAATATGATGGGAGCGATTCTCTCGACTCGTGCCCGAATGGTGGGGAGGGGAGGAGGGCGCCGACGAGGCGGACCTGCGACAAACGAAAAGTACCCGATGCCGATGCCCCATGCAGTGGGACCCAGGACAGGATAGCATCCTTCAGGAACAAGAGGCCCTCCGCAGGCCAAATCACACAGAACATCCAGGGGGACCCTCCCTGGGATGCACAACAACGTCCAACAAGCACGAAGAACGCCAGTGTACCCTCCCCGAGCCGACCTCGACCTTCTACTTGTTGGTCCGACCGTGCCGCTGCTCCCGGACAGTCTCCTGGGGAGCGTGCTGACAAGGCCACCGAGGCGAATAGCCAAATGCGGCGGCCAGGGCCTCCCATGGGAGGCCCAGGAGGAGGCCCTCCCAGAAGGCCCCCCAAAGCAGCGAACGAGGGAAGGGTAGCGGCACGAGTACCTTGCCCCGCTCTCGCCATCGCTCGGACGTCCACTCCCCGTGCACTTGTCGGCTCCGCGCGCGGACTTTTCGCACGACGATCCTAGATGCCCCTCGAGGGTCCTCGATGGCCCCCGCCGACAAAAAAGATGCACACGTCCGAGCGATGCCAGGTCCTTCGACTTCTGGAGCGCCCCTCGCTCCGTGCACCCCTCTTCCCGCTGCGGCCCGCCCCGACCCGGAGCGGCGGGCCTCCCGTCGTCGGCAACCGGCTCGGCCAGCACCACCCCCCGGCCCGCGCCGCAGCTCAGCAGCGACGAGCCGCCGGCCGTGGCGAAGGACACGTCCTCGGCGGCGGGCCAGTCAGGGGTGCCAGATATCCGATGCTCAAGAAAAAAATGAGCGGCCGCCGGCTCTGGGCTATCTTCGGCCTCCGGGGCCCTTCCGGGGACCCTTCACGGGCCCCGAGACCATCAAGAAACGACACTAGAAGACGAGCAAAACGCCATGAACATTAATTGTTGGCGCTCCGCGCAGATTTCTTGGATCTGCGCAAGACCCCCCTCCCTGGCGCGCGGAGCGCGCCAGGGGCGGCGCCAGAGGCGCCGCAGGGGGGGGGGCCCAGCGCGGACCCAAGAAATACGCTCGGAGCGCCAAAAGTTTTCTGTTTATGGCGTTATTCCTTCTTCGCGACTCAGGATAGGGGAAGCGGCCCTATGGGGGGAAGCGGTCCAGACCTTTGGGGTTCCACGCACGGGGGCCCCACCCGGCACGCAGAAAGACATGCAGGGACGACGTGATTAGGCTGGAGGCGCACGCCCGACACGAACACGTGGTACACAAATCTTGCAGCAGATCGTTTTCTGAACCGCACGGCAAGAGAACAAACGATGGACCGATTTTCTACCACCACTACCATCGGTGGGACAGGGAGGGGGAGGAGGAGGAGGAGGAGGAGGAGGAGCAGGAGGAGGAGGAGGAGGAGGAGGAGGAGGAGGAGGAGGAGGAGGGGAAGGAGGAGGCGGAGAGCAGGAGGACATGCCCATCATCCTCCTTTCTCCTCCGTTCTACATGCGGTAGTGGTGGTGGAAATCTTGCCAATCAAGCAAACACACGGGTCTTACGCAATACGACATAGGGACCTTACGCAACGGCTCACGCGGGCCGCCCGCGTTGCACGCTACATTCGAAAATGAGGGCGCTCACTCGCGACCATCCGCGGCCTGCTTACGCGCCAATGTCGGCGCAGATGCTCAATTAGGGGTCCCAGGAGAAACGGTGCGGTTACAGGGCATACAGAGAAACGTGCCCGACACGAACAGGCAAACAACAAATCTTATATAGTAAATATGTTCCTGGGCTGTCTGGCCAGAGAACATCCGCCACGGAACTTATAGCACAACATCTCGAACGCAAAGGCAACGGGTCCCCGAAATCCATCCAGCCGATACACCGATAAACCGAGAGCAACTGCTCGGTTGATCGGCTTGCAGACCGACCAATCACACGACCGATTTTAGGTACTCGGGTTGCTGGTCTGCCAAACGATAAACCGATATGAGCTCCTTGCATGTTCAACACGATTATAAAAGGATTGCTAAGACTGCCTCGATATCCCTCACGATATCAAATGGCTCCTAAGGACCCCTCAAGACGACTGAGGATTCCTACAGCTTTCTGAAGATTCCGAAAGATTCTCTGAGGATTCCTCAGGATGCCTTCAGCTTCTTAAGGGTTTATATAGATTCCCAGGGGGTCTTGCAAATTCCGAAGGATTTGAAAGTAATCATCAGGATCCCTAAGGGATCCAAAATATTTCCGCAGTAATCCTCAGAATGATGCCGAAAATTACCACTCGGACTAGTGCTACAACGCCGCATCGATCAACTATTACACCGATCAACCGAGAGACGCACCGACAAACCAATAAACCACTGAACCGAGAAACGCACAAAAAAAGCCGATACACCGACCAACCGCTGAAACCATCCTGCACGCAGTTTCCGACACGCTGGCGAGAGGGCGGGTGTTGTGCTTGACCGGCTCGCGCGAGCATCGACCACTGACATGATTCAGGAGGGAAAGATACACACAGACATAATTCATCGCCGACTCCCCAGAAAATATGGGAAAATATGGGAACTGGGGAGGGGAAGACAGAAACCCAGAAAATATAGGAAAATACTGGGAATGATCTTATTTGTGTGTATCTATTTGTGTGTGTCCCAGTTCCCCTTCAATGATAGAATGATGCGGGCTTGTCGCTTTACCGCTTGCTCGGCGTATCGTGTTTGTGATGCCCTGCGGCTGCAACCCGGACTTCTGCGCGTGCGGGCCGCCCTCTGCGGGGCCGACGCGCGCCCACAGCCCACGGCTGGTGGTGCTGGGCGGTGCCGGCGCCACGGTGCGAGTGCAGAGCGTGCGGTGACCTCGGCACCCCCCCCAAGAAGCCCCGCGCCACACAGGGCGTCACCGCTCGGCGTCGGGGCCCTGGAGGCCCCCAGGCGTCCTCGGAGAGCGACCCGAGCCCCAAAGCCGCACGGTCGCCCCAGACGTCCACGGACGCACCACAGAGAGGGGCCACCGCACCGTCTGGGGGCCCCCAGGCCAGGGCCGGGGCGCCGTGCTGGTGAATGGCCAGCGGGTGAGCCCGAGGTTTGCTCGCGGAGCTGGGGGAGTCCCCCTCGACATCCCCGCGTCGTGGAAACATCACGGCGGCGGGTTTTTGGCCACTGTTGGCCCTCGGGAGCCCCCACGGGGCCCCGGGGACGTCCAACAACGACTCGGGATGGGAAGCAGGTCCCTGCGGGAGGGGTCCAGACCTCTGGGCGGCCTCGCTCTGGAGCACACAAGCACGGCGCCGGGCGTCTGGGCCAACGCGAGCGCTGGGAGGCAGCCGCAGCTGGAGGGCCTGCAGCTACGCCTCCGTGGGCGAGCGTGTGCCCAAGAGGACGGCAGCGGCGAGACCTGCCTGCCCTCACGCTGCGTCTGTGGCTGAGTCCTTCGGGAGGAAGGGCGCATGCTCCAGGCTCGGGGCCCGCACATGGGCCCGCCTCCTCTCCGCGCCCTCTCCCTCACCCACCCAAGCACCAGCTCCTCCGCCTGCTCCTCCTCCTCCTCTTCCGCCCCTTCCCCTCCTCTTCCATTTTCTTGACCTATTCCTCTTCCGCTTTTTCGTCCTCCCCTCCTCCTCCTCCTCCTCCTCCTCCTCCTCCTCCTCCTCCTCCTCCTCCTGCTCCTTCTCCTTATCCTCCTTCTCCTCCTGCTCCTACTCCGCCGCCTCCTTCTCCTCACCCATTCTCCTCCTCCTCCTCCTCCTCCTTCTTCTCCTCCTCCCCTCCTCGTCCTCTTCGTCCTCCTCCTCCTCCTTCTCCTCCTCCGTCTCCTCCTTCTCCTCCTCATCTTCCCCTCCTCGGAAGAACAAGCAGCCGCATAGACAAATAAACCTTCGGAAGTCAGAGCGGAATGTCCTTGGTCGGCACTGGACCCCACTCCGTCGGTGTCAGGCGCCAACGCCAGAGGCGTCGCCGGGGGGTCCAACGCCGATGGGGACACGAAACGCGTGAGGTGTGGGAGACTCATGTGATCACAGCCAGTGGGGCTCTCGGTGGAGCTGCCCATGGGGCCCCGATGGGTGGCGCGGACGCGTATGATCACAGCCACTGGGGCCATCGGTGGAGCTCCTTATGGGGCCACGAAGCGCCGTACTGGGTGGCACGGACGCATGTGGTCACAGCCACTGGAACCTTCGGTGGAGCTTCCTGCGGGGCCACGAAGCGCCGTACTGGGTGGCACGGGACGCATGTGGTCACAGCCACTGGGGCCTTCGGTGGAGCTCCCTGTGGGGCCATGACACGACTCTCGAACCCGATCGAGGCGGGCAGAGAAGGAGAAGGCGAGGGAGAAGAGGAGGAGCAGGATTAGTGGGAGGGACGGCGAGGGAGAGGAGAGAAGGCGAGGGAAGAGAGCCTGGATCCACGAGGCTCGACCCTCGATCCCGCTCGAGGCGGGCCCGGACCTGGTCGAGCCGGGCGTACACCTCGAGGCCTGCCCACACATCCTGCGTCACGATGTCTGTTTCGAGACTCGGGCCACCGACCTCTCGACCGCTTCCCCGGCACTCTTCATCTTTGGACGCCCGAAATGGGTACGGAAAGAATGGGTACAATGCCCAACATCAAATGTTGTCCCAAACCAACAGCGGCCGCTGTTGGGCAGGCGGCCCTCTGTCTCGAATGGACACGGGCCGCGGCGACGTGGACGGCGAGTCCTGTTCAAAATGAGCCAGATCCGCTGTTGGGCACTGTACCTTTTTTTTCGTACTCACTTTGTTCGTGCAGATCATCCCGGATCGTCTTGTCGCGGTCCCGAGGCCCGGCAGGAGGACCCCCGGGGGCCGAGAACGAGGAGCAGAGGCTCCACCTCGATGTCTCCGAGGCGCCGCTGCCCGGGCGGGGCGCGGCCCCCCCGAGGGGCGGCCCCGTCCGGCGGCGGGCTCCTCGAGGTCGAGCGTGGTGCTCGCTGTCGCCAGCTCCGCGGACCTGCACCCGCCGCGCCTCTCGGCCCCCCTTCCCGCGACGAAGAATCCCGGCCGAGGGGAAGGAGGACGAGGAGAGGGGGGGGGCGGCATTGCAGAGGACCTGTCATGCGACTGACTCACAGGAGCACGGGCCCAACTTTGGGCCTTCAAAATTTGGAAAAAGCTCCTCACCTGTCTTAGGGGTGCTTGCCAACTCGGATGGCATTGATATTATATCTCTGCCGGTACCAGGGCTGCTTGTCCTCGGCGGGACTTTTAGTCCTCGTCGAGGTCGCACTTGGCAGCCTGAGCAGACGTTTGATGGGAGCCGCACAGGGTGCACACCAAGGCACCACGGGTCACCAACACCTGGTGCCCACGGAGCTCGCCCGCAAAGGAGCTAGAGGAACCTCCTTCCTCGTTAGCCCACTGTAGGGCCGTCTTCACCGCCTGAGACTGCATACTGGGGGCCCCCTGCAGGCCCATGTCTCCCTGGACGCCATCAAACTCTGCTGAGGGGTCGGGGCACAAGGCGCGCCCAGCAATTTGGCAATACCAGCAGGGGTCCTAGCCAGACCTACGCACGCTTTACATCAGAGCACCTTGGCCCGTCGATGACTCTATGCACCAGTACATGCTGAGTGAGGTCCAACCTTGGGACCACGGCAGACGGGGTCCTATCAGAGCGGGCGGGGCGATGAGACCCACCATCACGATGAGCTATCGCAGCAGCCGCCCATCCAAAGGACCTGGCCTGGAGCTCAACAGCTTCACGAGCGCTTCTGGGCAGGCATGTTGAAACGCGCAGCGTTCAGCAAACCAACCCCACCATCCATGGCCGAGGTGTATCTCAATCGGGTGATTCGGCCCAAGTGTCTGCTTCCCGAGAAATGTGCGAAGGAATCCGATAGAAGCCAGGAGCCTGCTCCTCGCCCGCAACGGCAAAGATATTTCTCACAATCTCAGCATGTATAGCCTGAGCGACAGCCTGGTCTTGGTGCCGGGCTGCACCTTCATCGTGCACGGGTGCACGGCGTTCATGTCTAATCGTGCTCATTTCTGATTGCACACGTTTCTAGTTGTTCCTGGCCTCCTAGTGGCCAGGAAGAGGCCCAGGATGGAACACTTAGAAATGAACGGATCTTGGCCCCACCAAAATCAAAGAACTCTCGAATACTTAGAAATGAGCAATGTGTAAAAGATCGGTGACCACGGGCGTCACCTTCGGCAAGTGCTGGAGCGCCTGATAAGCAGCAACGCGTTCAGCTCGACCTGCCGTCTAGAAAGGGCCCTGGAGAGCTCCCCAGGCGCCTCGCACAGGCATGCCGTTGCTTCCTAGCTGGTATAATCCCCAACCACAACGTTGCTGTTCTGGCAAGCTCGGGGCTATGCCAAATCCATCCTTGTAAACCACCGTGGCCCAACTGGACCTGCCAGGGCCCTAGGCACCCCAGAACACCACAAGCGTCCCATTCAAGTCTCAAACTTGTCTCAATGGTTGCCCCCCAGCCCCGTGACAACCTCGGCCTGGAGGTATTCATACGAATATACCTATGCGACCACCCTTCGGGTGATAAGGAGGTTGTGGGGGGGAGAGGGGGGGGAACCCACATCTGACTCAATCGATCTCACTATCAATCTCACTCAACGGGACACCACAGGACATCACGGGACACTTGTCGATTGCACTCTGGATCTCACTATCGATCTCACTCAACGGGAAACTGCGGAACACCACGGGTCACCATGGGAAACCACGGGACACCGCGGAACACCTCTCGATCTCACTATCGGTCTCACTATCGATCTCACTCAACGACACACCATAGGACACTACGGGACACCTCGGGACACCACATCGATTTCACTATGGATCTCACTATCGATCTCACTCAACGGGACACCACGGGACACCTGTCGATCGCACTATCGATCTCACTATCGATCTCACTCAACGGGACACCACGGAGCACCTCGGTGGACCACATCGATCTCACTATCGATCTCACTATCGATCTCACTCAGCGGGACACCACGGGACACTTGTCGATCTCACTATCGATCTCACGATCAATCTCACTCAACAGGACACCACGGGAAACCACGGGCCACCACGGGACACCGCGGGACACCGCTAGGGCCACCGCCGGACGGAAGAGAATCATCTGTCTTGACTTCGCCCTAGCATGGGCGGACACCACGAGACACCACGGGACACCGCTAGGGCCACCGCCGGACGGATGAGAATCATTTGCCTTGACTTCGCCCTTGCAACGGCGGACAGCACGGGACACCACGGGACACCACAGGACACCGCGGGACACCGCTAGGGCCACCGCCGGACGGACGGACGGAGGAGAAACATTTGTCTTGACTTCGCCCTAGCAACGGCGGGTTCATGCCTCTCGCGCGCCCACGCAGCTTCGCCACGCCCGCACGCACGACACGAACGAAACGAAACGATTTCCCGGTTGGGGGTCTCCGTTCCACTGCGATCTCACCCCCCAACCTCCGATACGTATATGATTAAACTAGGAGTCCCAATTGAGGTCCTCGCCAAGGGTACCTTCATACAGCTTAGGGCAGCTATACATCTTGTTGCCGAGCGTGTCTGGGGGTCCTTATGGGCACCACGGGCAAGCCGAAGAAATCCGATACCCAGAATCAGCCGTTCGATAACGAGCCCATCGTCCTCTAAACCAGAGTGTCCTCAAAGCGCCTGCAAACCCAGGAGCTCGCACCGCCGCCTTAGCTCTGCCAAGGCATCTTCGAAGAGTTCGCGTCCAGATCTGCCCGCCACCATAAAACATGTCTTGGTGTCGACCAACAATATTCTCAGCTTGCCACCTCTGCACTCCATCTTTGACCAGAGCCAAAGACAACCTGGGGAGAGTCTTCATGAAGGCTATCACGTACCTGTTGTCATCGCATAAGGTAGTGCTAGAAAGCATCCGCCAGCCGCTCCCAGCAAGCTCAAGCCACAACGTGAAGCCATAGCGTATGGGACCCAGAGCTTCCTTCCAGGATTAATTCTGCTTCATCTGCTGGTTCACCGAAGCCCAGGCCCTCTGAACACGCCCCAAGAATATTCGCTGATCCGAAATTGAACTGGCGTAAGTTTTTACTGGCTTTGAATTCAACGTTGCATCACATATGGGGTCAAACATCTCGTACTTCTGCATGGCGAACACTAATGCGAACGACGAAGAGGTATACCTGCCACATATCACCCCGGCGGTGCAACGCTACTTCAAAAGTTACTGCTCCGAAGCTCCAGACACAGAGGCACCATGCACAGCAGCAGGAAGAAGCCCTGTCCTCCAGAGCGCTGTTCCCTGTGCACCAGCTTGCTTGCGCACCATCAGAACACGAGGCATCCTAGCACTGAGCTTGCTGAGTCTCTTGGCCGCTTGCTTCCATATCGGCGTGGTCCCCGAAAATTCATGTCCCAGATTTATCATCCATTTCTTAGCCGTGAGACAAAACTGCTTAGCACAATGGTCAAACGGCTTCCAAGACGTGCGAGAGCTGAAAACCCACCCACCGCCGACGTCGGCGATGCATCAGCGACGTCGGCGATGCATCGACGCCATCGGCGTGCAGACAATCGGGCTCCACATCGAGCCGCAAGGTCGTTGAATCGGCGATTAGGCGCGATTCTTCGGCCACATCTACTCGGACTCCATTTGGGAGGCCTACTGGGATGGGCGCGAGAGGTGCAAAGGGGATAGGGGGGCCATCACTGGATGTCAAAATGTGTTATTCCTGGCCCATCAAGGCTTGTAAACGGGCGACGAATGCCCCAAATGGATTTGGGGCTATACAACTTTGCTAAGTCGGCTCCACCCACTTAGCTCATATCGTTCAACTCCCTCGGCCACCTTGGAACTCTGTGACCGACTTACAAGCCAGGTTAGGCCAGTTACATCCCACCCTGCATGCATTTTTCACCCCCCTCCCCTCAACAACCCCCCCCCCGCTCATCCCAGTAGTGGCAAGGCCAAACGATACCGAGACCGATGCTACCTGGACCTCTCACGGGTTACGCTGTGACCAGAACTTCGCGGCGAGTACAAGTGTGGCGACGACGGTAAGACGAAGCCATGACGAGGATGAACTCGGGTGAAGATAAATCGAGAATCTCTGAATTCCGGCAGCTTTGGAAGGTGTTTCGGGCGCCGCGGCCTTCTCACAGAGTTCCGGAACGCTCTGATAGCGTTCCGGAAAGCTCTGGAAATGGATTTATCCCCGTCCAGGGCCCTGACCGACGAGGGCCCCCAAAGAGGCTCCCAAAAGGCAAAGTCGAGGCAAGGGCAGCGGCATTGGTAAATACCTCTCCCTCCCTCGACATGCGAGGGGAGTCGAGTCTGGCTGTGGCGACGAGGGCCCCCCAAGAGGCCCCGAAAAGGCGAAGACGAGGCAAGGGCAGCGGCATCAGTACCCCATGGGAAATGAAAGAAGCAAGCAATGTATTCACAAAATAGACTGACCATTTCTTTTACTACAATCAACATTATTGAACGGAGTAGGAGCTCGACCATAAGAAATCTTCCACAAAAAAGCCAACCCTGAGACCCAAAGACGTCCATCGATTCTTGGCGTGGGGACGTCACGCTTTCCATAGCAAAGCCATCGAAACCCAAGACACCCAGGGCACCCCGGAGGCAAGCAAGGTATTTCTTGGCACGGGTTTCCACTGTAACCTCCTCTGCCTCTGACGTGCGAGGGGTGGCCCGCCCCTTCTCGGACGCCTGGTAGTTTTTTGGGCTAATTAGCTCGGCTCTCCCGCGACCGTTCGGGACATTCTGGGCATCCCGGGAACGCCCTCGGCGAGGCGCAGCTGCTGGAGCGCACCCCGAGGCTGGGAAATCGCCGAGAACCGACGACGACGCCCGAAAACCTCGCACATCGAGCCTCGGCTTCCCCCCTCCCCTGTCCCCTCTGCCATCTGCTCCCGGTCGTCTCACTCCTCCCACGCTGCCCCCCTCACCGTCCTCCCCACTCCCCGTCGTCCTCCCTGTCGCCCGCGGCCTCACCCTCCAGCTCGTCCTCCTCCCACTCCTCCTCCTCCTCCTCCTCCTCCTCCTCCTCCTCCTCCTCCTCCTCCTCCTCCTCCTCCTCGTCCTCCTCCTCCTCCTCCTCCATTTCCTCCTCCTCCTCCTCCTCCTCCTCCTCCTCCTCCTCCTCCTCCTCCACATCTTCTCCTCCTCCCTCCACCTCCTCCTCCTCCTCCTCCTCCTCCCCCTCCTCCTCCTCCTCCTCCTCCATCCTCCTCCTCCATCCTCCTCTGCCTCTGAGGTGCGAGGGGAAGCCCGGCTCCCTCTCCCCCGGGTCACCGGTCGAGCGCCACGCCGCCCTTGGCCGGCGGCCCCAGCGGGCCGCCGGGGTGCGAGGAGCAGAGGGCCAGGCCGCCGCGCAGGCGGAGGCAGGAGCGGCGCTGGTCCCGCAGCTCGCGCTGGGAGGCGTCTGTTTCTTTTGCGTGTTGTTATTGTGTTTGTTTGTTTTGTTTGTTTATTGCTCTTGTTTTTCCTTTTCAAACAAAGTGTATATATAGAACTATGAATATATAATAAACGAAACAAGCAAAACGAGGGCAACGTGGATGAGCAAGACACTCTGGCCAACAGAAGTGGCCATTTGTTCTGGCCGCGCCTGGTGGAGCATCACAACGGGTGCCAACGTGCGATCGGGCACAACAGGCCAACGGAGGGGGGAGGGGCGAGAAAAACGGAGGCATCGCGCCAAAATCTCGAAGCCAGCAAAGCATCAGAGTGAAGCGCGGGGATTCAGAGTCGCAGTCGAGGGTGCCCGCTGTGCTTCTTGTGTTATGAGGCTTGTCCCCCCTGATAAGACGAAGCCAGGACGAGGATACATCCGGGTGAGGATGGATCGAGGATCTTTGAGATCTGGCGGCTCTGGAATCTGTCTCGGGCGCCGCGGCCTTCTGTGAGCTCCGGAACGCTCTGAGAGCCTTCCGGAACGCTCTGGAGTGGATCTGTCCCTGTCCTGAACCCCGTCCGAGATGCACCCGCTGCTCATGCTCTGCAGGGGTACGCAAACCACTTTTATCTTCTATCTTCCTTCTTCTTGACGTTGTTGTGCAGCATGCTTTTTTTTTTCTCTCTCTCTCTCTCTCTTTCTCTGTGTAGGAGCTCGACCACAAGAAACCTTGTACAGGAAAACCAACCCTGAGACCCCAGGACGTCCATGGATGTTTGGCGTGGGGGCGGAACGCTCTCCATCGCAAGACCATCGACACCCAAGACACCAAGGGCACCCTGGAGGCAAGCGAGGTATCTCTTGGCATGGGCTTCCGCTGTAGCCAGTGGGTACATCCAGGCGCCACGCCTCGAGGAGGGCTTTCGACACATCAGATAGACATTGCGCGCTCCACTACTCGCAGCGTATCTGCTCGCAGATGGCCTGGATCCGGCGCGGGGGATTCTACGATCATTTGCATCGAAGCAGACGCATGTTTTTGTTAGGACGTTTGCGAGTAGGCACTCTGCGAGTGGTGGAACGCGCTCGACGCATAAAAGTCGACGGTGAACAAACCTCCATTTAGCAAACCTCCCCCTCGGGAAAACGGCCCAGGACCGAAACCGACGGACCTGGACCCGCAAAAATGACGGCCGCGACGCCCTCTCGCGAACCGACAGCGGCCGACTCCGTAATCGACGTGTCAGGGTGGGAGGCCTGTCCACTTCCGACCTACGGTTAGGTCGGGCATGTCCCCTACAGGGGGACATGCCCGACTGGGGGGCACCTAGGGCCAATGCCACTTCTGCATCCTCCACCCCTCCTGGCGGTGGGCGCTCGGCGGGGCGCCCGGCGGATCGCAGCGAGTGTGTCTGCATATCCTGAGCGTTGGCGCGGTGGCAGGAGGGCCCGGACACGAGGCCAGGAGCGGCGTTCGGGTGCTGCCAGACGTGCCAGTGGCCCAAGGTGCCCCTCCAGGAACTCCAAACATTACTCCAGAGACGACCAACAATAGTCAAAAAATGGTCCCAAGACTATTCTTTGACTATTTCTAAAACCCTCCGAAAAAAAAGGCGTCGCGCTCGCCGTGGGCCGCCGGCCTGGCCGGCCGGCGCCTCGGCGGCCCCGCCGCGCGGCGGGCCCTCCCCGGCGGCGGGCCCTCGGCGGGCGCCCCCCGCGCGGCGGGCCCCTCTCGGAGGGCCCCCCGGCGGCGGGCCCCGCGGCGGGCCCCGCGCGGCGGGGCGCCGCGGGGGGAGGCGAGCCCGTGGGGATCCCCGCCGCGCTCGGGCGCCGCGGGCGCCCTCCCCCCGGTTAGGGCGCCACATGCGCACCCTAACCCCCCTTATAGGCCCCACGGCTTCGGAGGGAGAGAGGGGTGGGGCTCACTGCGCTCGGGAGCTCCCGAGCGCAGCGAACCCCGCCCCCCCCCCTCAGAAGCCGTGGGGCCTACACCCTGCGAAATGCTTAAGAAATCATGGGTTAAGAAATTCATAGTCTCAGAACTTGAGTAGAAGACCAGAATTTCCATCGAAATCTTATGATTTACATGGAAGCATTAAGAATAATCGAGACTCTGGCCGAAAACTTGGGTTTTCTTAACCATCGCCTAAGGTGTATATGGGGGTAGGGTTCGCCTGTGGCCCCCCACCTGTGCGGCGCCGCGCGGTGCATGCTGCGGGCGGGGGTCCGAGGTCCGACGGCGGGGCTCTGCCAGGGATTTCCGTGAGGGGCAGCGGGGGAGGGGGGATGGGCAGCGTCGGCCTCGAATGGGCGATGCATCGCCGACGGATCGGCGATGGGCCTCCCACGTGGCAACTCCGCACGCTCCTGGGCAGGCTGGGGCGATCGGGCCCATGTCGGCGATACGTGGGCGATTGCGGGTCGACGCATGCCCATCCCCCCCCCCTATCGTTGCCCCTGGTTCGGGGGCTCTTGCCCGATCTGCTTCTTGGACTCTGGCGAGTCCACTTGCACGGCGGGGTGGGGGGCAGGGCGCGGCGAGACCCGGACGCACATCCGCCGACCTCCAGGGGTCTCATCGGCGTGTGAGATGCTTCCCCCTCCCCCAAACCCCTTCCCCCCGGAGCCCGGTCCTGTCGTTTGGGAAGGGCGGGGTCGCCCGGGGACCGCTGGATCGCGTCACGGGGGCGCAGAGGGCCCCAAAGCAGGGGCCCCAAGAGGCCCTCCGGACGGACCAAGAGATCCCGAGCCGCCGAACGATCGATCCAAAATGCTAACGCTGGCCTCCAGACGGCCCAAGAGGCCCCCAAGCCGCCCCGAGGGGCAAACGTGCATCTTGAAGACGTTCGCATCCTGTGCGTTCACAGCGTCCACGACGGCCCAATAAGTCTTCTAGATCGCTTCAGGATGGCCCAAGAGGCCCCCAAGGGAGCTCTCACAAGACCCCAGAGAGCCCCAATACCGCTCAATAAGCCCCCAAGACGGCATGGGGGGGGCCCCAGGACAGCCCCAAGAGGGGGCTAAGATGGGGACCAGAATGGACATTCCGAGCCTTCGACCCCAAAACGCCCCCCGGTTGCCCCAAGAAGCCTCCAACAGGCCCCCAGGGAGCTCCAAAAGGCCTCCCAAAAGCTCCCAAGACGCCCCCAGGACGCCCCCAAGAGGTTCAAAAATTGCCTCTCAAACGCCCCCGAGGCGCCTCCCACGAGACCGCATCTGCCGTCCGAGTGGCCTCAGACCCGCAGCCCAGGCACGGTGGCGGGATGTGCCGAAGGCGTCTTCGATCCGCCGCCCCCTGTCGATTCATCGCAGGGGTGCCTGGCGTGCTGAATCCTCTCGGTCTTGGTTTAGCTTTTTTCTCAAAACAACTCCCCCTGGGGCTCCGGCGCGTCCCGCCGGGGTCCCGGGAGGATCTTCCAGGAGCTCAATTCCCCCCAAAATCCTCCAAGACGGCTCAAGATGGCCTCCAAGATGGCCACGCTGGGCCAAGGTAGGCCAAAAACATTTATGTTCCTAAAGTTTTTGATGGATTTTGGCATTTGCTTCTTTTCGGCCTTCCGACGGCCTGAGACGGCACAAGAGCCCCCAAAGATCGCCGAATCGCCCAAGAGGCCTCCAAGATGGCCCCAGAACGGCCCAAGAGGCCCCCAAGACGGCCCCAAGAGGCCCCCAAGACGGCACAGGAGGCCTTTAAGACGCCCAAGATGGCCTCCAAGATGGCCCTGGAGCATTCCAAGAGGGCCCCAAGTCGGCCCATAGAGGCCCCCCAAACGGCTTCCGACGGCGTCAGACGGACCAGGAGCCCACCAAGACGGCCGAACATGGCCATGAGATGGCCCAAGACGGCCCAAGAGGCCTCCAAGATGGCCTCCAGGAAGGCCCGAAAAGGCCAAAATCATTGATTTCCAATAGGTTTTTGAAGGATTGTGGCATTTGCTTTTTTCTGCCTTCCGACGGCCCGAGACGACCCAAGTGCCCCCAAAGATCGCCCAAGAGGCCCAAGACACGGCCCCAAGAGGCCCCCAAGACGGCCCAAGAGGTCTCCAAGACGCTCGAGATGGCCCCCAAGACGGCCCAAGAGCCCTCCAAGACGTCCTCCAAGAAGGCCCGAAAGGGTCAAAATGGCCTCCAGACGGCCAAGATGAGCTTCAAGATGCCCACGTGTTCCCCGAAGGCTTTCCAAACCGATTCGGGGAACACTTGGTCCGATAGCTTGGCAGGTCTGGCCTCAAGGTTCGGCCACGTAGGCGCTTCCAGAAAGGCAGGGGGCGGCGGTGATTCGCCGTAGGCGTCTTCGATAATCAAAAGAGCTCCAAAGAAACCCCCAACCCAAAAGGCGCCCAAGAGGCCCCCCCGCAGGAGGAATACACAGCAACAGCCATTCCCCCAAGGGGTCGGCAGTGTGGCGTACGCCTAAGACTCTGCACTTCACGCACGTCGGGACTCAATCGCCCGCCCTTTCGCCACAGCGCTCTTTAGAAACGTGGCGGAGGGGCTAGGGGGGGAACGCCATGCAAGCAAGCTTGCCAACATCTACAATCCAAAAGGCCCCGGGGAGGGGGAACCGCTCCGCGTTTGCTGCTTGCGGTCGTCTTGGGCTCCCCGAGGCAGCCACATCGAAGGCCGCGGCCCGCTCGCGCCCCCTTCGTCCGCGTCGGGATCGGGTGCTCTTGGAGGCCTTCCTGCCGCGGGACGCGCTCCAGCACCTGCGCCTCGCCGAGAGCGCTGCGGGGGTGCCCGAATCGTCCCGAGCGCGGCCGCCAGAGACGCGAGCTCTGACTCGAAAACCCAGATTCGGCGGTGGGCAAACCTCCCTTTAGCAAACCTCCCCTTAGTGAAAACGGCCTGGGACCGAAACCGGCGGACCTGGACCCGCAAAAATGACGGCCGCGACGCCCTCTCGCGAACCGAAAGCGGCCAATTCCTTAATCGACGTGTCAGGGTAGGAGGTCTGTCCACCCTCGACATATACTCGACAGCACGACGTTTCCAAGCCGGGCGTTCTGCCTGGATGTCGGCCTCCGGGGCCCATCCGTGGGCTCCCTGGGGGCCATCACAGCTGGATCCGGGACGGAAATTCTGCCCTCGGGGGAGGGGTCGGGAGCTCTGAGGGGCCGCGGGTTGGACAGTAACAACCATCGGCGGATCTCCAACTGCGGCGAGCGAGGGGGGAGGTGCGAGGGAGAAGGCCCCCTTCAGGAGGTGCGAGGGGGGAGGTGCGAGGGGGGAGGTGCGAGGGTCTCCCGAGTCCTCGGGGCGGGCGCAGGGCGCTTCTCTCAGAAGGCGGGGGGCCTCCGAGCCTTCGGAGGCGGCCCGCCCTGTCTCGCTTGCCCCTCTGGGCTCGCCGCCGATTCCAGGTGATGTGTCCTCTTCCTCGTCGTCTTCTTATTATTATTCTTCGTCGGCGAACGCCAGGGGCGAGATGACGGCGAGGGACGAGGGACGAGGGGCGTGTCGGCGAGGGACCGCGGCAGCGCCGCGGCGGCGGCCACGACGACGACGGCCACGGCGACGGGGAGAAGGAGGACGGCGAGGAGGAGGAAGGGGAGGAGGGGCGACGCGGAGGACGAAGAGGAGGACGACGAGGACGACGAGGAGGAGGAATGAGGACGAAGAGGAGGAGGGCGAGGAGAGGGAAGAGTGGCGAGAAGGACGGAGAGAAGGAAGGGCGACGAGAAGGACGAGGAGCACGTGGGAGAAGGGAAGGAGGGAGGGGGGAGAGATGAAAAGAGCAGTGGAGGGAGGAACCGGGGAAGCGGCAGGTGAGGAACTGAATGTCAAGAATATAGGAGTGCACAGCTCTAACATAAAGCATTTCGCATTGCCCCACTGCTCCCAACAGAAGGGACTCATAACGAGCAGCCTCTACATTTCACTGCCAATCGCAAGCCCGGCTTCAAACAGATACTAGAATCACCAGGTCGGGGAAGCATGTGAAGCAGACGGACTTTGGATTTTTGCCCCATTACCTGCCGTTCCATCTTCCCTCCTGTTGAGGCCACCCGCATGGGGCCGCACCAGATGGCGTCGGAGGATCGAACCGCATCGCCCATTCGTCTGCGGCGTAGGGACTGGGGCAATCCAGATCTAGATCGGGCCGCATCGTCGGTGCATCAGCGAGGCGGCGCCGTCCTCCAACCCCAACCTGCTCCGACCCGATTTGGCTGGCCTGGGTCTTGCCCCACATCGCGGCCTCCGATCATTTTGAAAGCTCGTCGTCGCAGTGGCCACCTCTCTCTCAAGGAGTCTGCTTCGGGCCCCGAAACCGTCAGGGACAGATCTGTGACCACGAATGAGGCCTCCCAGAAGGGGTCCGAGTAGATGGGGCGGAGGATCGGGCCGCATCGCCGATGCATCACCGGTGCATCACCGATGCATCGACGATGCATCGGCGACGTCGGCGTGGAGAGAATCGGGCTCCACATCGAGCCGCATCGCCGATGCATCGGCGATGCGGCGCGGTCCTCCGACCCCACCCGCTCCGACCCCACCTGGGAGGCCCAGAGCCACAGGGTGAGGCCCAAGAGGGGTCTGGAAGACCGGCTTCGAGCGGATGCCGCCTCCTCTGCTCCAGGGGGCTCGCCGTCGATCCCCCCGAACCTTGATCCTCCACCCATCCTCTCGATCCCTGCTCGATCCTCGATCCTCGATCCTACCCTACTACCTACTCGATCCTCGATCCTCGATCCTCGATCCTACTCCGTCCTGCGGCCCTTCCTCACTCGACCCTCGCTCCTGGATCCCTCCTCCCTCGACCCCTCCCGCCTCGGTCTCCGCTCGTCGCCCAGCCGTCCACGCGTGCCCGGGGCGAGGAGCCACACACAGAACCGCAAGCCTTCGGAGCCCCGCGCGGAAGCCTTGGACTTGCGCTGAATCCCCTGGCCTGGCGCTCGGAGCGCGCCACGGGCAACGCCGGAGGCGCCACAAGGGGGGACCCGGCGCAGATCGAAGAAATCCGCGCGGAGCTCGGGGCGTCTATCCAAATGCAGCTTCTTACCATGTTTTCCGAACCTTTGATCCCAGCCCGCCCATCTGCACGCGGCGCCTGCACTGAGAGAAGAATCCACAAAACGGCTCCTGCGCGTCCCGCAGCAGGCACCTCAGGCCCTGAATGCTGCTCGAGGCGGCCGCGAACTTCCAATCCTCTGGCGGCGCGTGCATGGGCGGACATCCTCCGGAAAGCGTTTGCTGGGCATCCAACAGCCACCTTTTATGACCCCTGCGATCCTGGGCGTTACAATTTTCCGCAACCGGCGAAATGGCCTTGTTTCGGGCCCCAAGACCCTCGCACATGGACAGGCTCGAAACATCCAACATAAAGATAGGGTCTCGGGTTCTGGTCGCGGTGTTTCGATGCATTGTTTCCGCAACGTCGGATCTCAAGGCTCCCATTGTGGACTGCGAAAATAAAAGCCGTCCCCGCGGCCTCTGGCACTCTGTGGCGTGGCAGCATACCATGGGCTTTCTGGCAGAGTGTCCACAAGTCTTCCGCCGCCCCCTCTCACCACGCTTACTCGCCTGCATCGCCCCCCCCCCCCCCCGCCCCGACCTCTCACAAAAACCGCGCTCCCGAGGCAACGACCCCTCGTCAACAAACGAGGGGCCCGCGCCACGGAGGCCGCGACTCCTTGAGGAGAAACCCATGGGTCCACGCTCCCGAGGTACCATACCTGGTAAGAGATGAGAGTGTCAGCCAGCGTGGACCTCAAACAGTATGTTCACGCGCTGTGAAGGTGAAGACGCTACGGCGTCAGCTATGTGGTGACAGTAATGTCGTGTAGGCTATGTGGTGTGAGCCATGGAGGTGACAACTATGCGGTGCAAGCTACGCTTCTGGTGCGCATTTTCTCGTGCAAGCTATGCGGTGAGAGCTGGGGGTGAGAGTTGCCAGGTGTCACAGATGTGGTCTGAGCTGCGCTGTGCAAACCATGTCGTGTGAGCTCTGTGGCGGAAGCCCGGCGGTGTAAAGGCTGTGCGGTGAAAGCTCCGTCGTGTACGCTCAGGGCACGGGGGCGCCCACGAGGCGCCCCCGAGAAGCGGCACGCGCGGCAGCGCTGCGCGAGCACGGGCTGCCCACGGGGCGCCCGCGGCGCGGCACCGCTGGCCCACGGGGCACAGCCCCCGGGAAACCCACCAGCGCAAGGGGGGCGCCCACGGGGAGCGGGGCGGCACGAGGCGGCATCGCGGCGCCCACGGGGCGCCCACGGGGCGCCCGGGGGGCGCCCACGAGACGGCACGGGAGGCACGAGGCGCCTCGGCCTGAGAGACCGGAACACGAGCCCCCAAGTGCAAGCACTGTCTTGGGGAACTATGGGCCCGCCTTCCCGAGGCCACGATCCCGCTCACGAATACCGTAGGTACGCGCTACCGAGCTTCCAGAACAGCCGCGGCAGGCAACCTGGGCCGCCAAGATCCCAGACGGCCCACGATGGCCCTGAGGTGACCCAAGACGGCCTCGAATTCCCGAGAGGGCTCCAAGACGGCCCCGGAGAGGACCCCCAGTAGGGCCCGAAGAGGCCAACATCACATATACAGCTATCCCTGAGGTGTTTTATATAGTAGGGGGATACTCAACCATTCGGACTTCCTTTAGCTCAAGACAGCCCTGAAGGCTTCAACTATGGTCTTATGAAAGCCTACGAAGTGTCCCAGACGGCCCAGGGCGGCACCAAAGCAACCAAACATAACTCCTGCATGTCCCATTCTGATTGAGAGGGGGCTGGCGGCAGAGGGCCAAACACCCTTACGGATAGTGGCCTCTTGCCAAACACACGGCATGTGTGCAGAGCGCATGCTGGCCACAGGAACAAGCAGCACCAGACTCGGGAACAAACGCCGTAGGTTTCGATGGGGACCGCTCGAAACAGCACGATTTCTTTCCAGGACCTCTGCCAACTTTGCAGATCTTGTTGCTTCCATATGTGGCATAGACGTTTGGGTAGCTTCTTCCTTGGTGGCTCACCACACGGTGTGGCAAAAGTACCTCGCCGCAAGGTTGCCGAGCATTCCCGTCGCGATGCCAGTTCCGAGAGGCGACCGCAAGGCTTCGCTCCGACGCTCCATCGCTCCCGCCTCCTGCCCATGGAGGGTGCCCGCGCAGCGACGGGCCCGTGTCCCCCGCGAGGACACAGCGGCGAGCGGCTCTGCCTGCCCTGCCTGCTGCCCTGCCCTCCCCGACAATAATGCCTGCCTGGGAGGCCACGGGCTGCGGACTCCGGAGGACTGCAGTGAGGCAACGGGCGATGTGGGCACACAGCTCGCGCGGTGCTCAGGCGCGTGGCAACTCCGCACCAAAGCGGCTGAAGAAGAAGAAGAAGAAGAAGAAGAAGAAGAGGGGATGAGGAGGATGGCGACGAGGAGAAAGAGGCTGGACAGAGGGTTAGGGGCAACGATCAGGGAGGGGGGGGGGGCAGCTCTGGGAGGGGGGGAACATCAACCTGGCATCGGCGATACGACGCCGATAGATCGGCGACGGGCCCCCGATGGCAAAAACGCACGTTCCAGGGCGGGGTGGGCTGTCGGGCTCCTATCGGCAATAGATGGGCAGCGGGGGGTCAATTGTTGTTTTGCTGTCTATTTTAACAGGGGATATGTCGACCCCTATCCCAGGCTTCGTGGGGTTTCCGAATGGACCAGAAATTTGGGGCCCAAACCCTGGGATATACGATGGGGGGGTCCATCCTCGATAGGGGTGCGTCCGAATAGCCCCCTTGGGGTGTATCCCAGGGTTTTCCCATTTTTCTGAACGGCCAAACTTTTCGGGTGAAACTCGGGGATTGGGGGAGAAGCACCGCCCGCGATATTTCGCCATCCTCCCCGAGACAGCCTGAGCACCAGCAAGATCCTGCCAACAAACTCGCACTGAAGTGGGTGGCACTTCCCCTCTGGTCGGGGCCCCTTCCGCCACCGCATGTGCCGTTCAACGAGAAGATTGACTATGAGGTTTCGGCTCCAATGGATGTGCCGATGGAGGGCGAATGCGGGCGAATTGGGGGCGATGCGGGGTGCTTTTGGGCAGCGAGATGGCAGGCTTAGGTCGGGCATGTCCTCCTGGAGGAGGACGTTGTAAGAAACATGAGAAATTCGGCAAACATATTCACAAAGGTAAGACATAGTCGACACATCCTCTCCAGATTACTCCTCGACTGTTGTCGAATATTCTTCCTGTGGAAGGACATGCCCGAATTGATTTGATGGCAGGCGTGGCTTCCCAGCGACCCAGCGGCAGTCCCTCGGGTGCGGCTGGAGGCGCTCGCAGTCGTGGTCCGGGCCGCGCGGAGCTCGGTGGGGAGCTTCTTCGCAGCGGGGCTGAGGAGGAGCCTCGGCCTCGGCCCAAAACGCACCCGCTGCCCCGATCCTCGCTCTCTCTCTCGCTCTCTCTCTCTCTCTCTCTCCAGCAGAGGGCAAAACTACAGTGGAGGCCAGTCCACAAGAAACCTTCCACAAGAAACCCAACCCTGAGACCCCAGGACCTCCATGGCCTTTTGGTGTGGGAGCGTCGCACCTTCCACAGCAAAACCATCGAAACCCAAGAAACCCCGGGCACCCTGGAGGCAAGCAGGGTGCTCCTTGGCATGGGTCTCCACTGCACACAGACACCGAACCTGCTGGTCGGTTCGCGCGAATTTCTCGGGTCCGCGCTGGGGCCCCCCCCCGGGCGCTGACCCAGCAAAGCCGTGCGGACCCCCAAGAACCTGCGGTTAAGTCGGGCCTGTCCCTCTACACGAGGAACGTTCAAGAATTGTAAGAAGGAGTCTGTGGGGACCATTGTTTGACTGTGTTTGATGAGCATCTTTCGGATATTTTGCTTGGGCACTTTCATGGTTCGTCCAAAGGCCCCGACCTAAGCCTACGGTCGGGGGGAGCCGACCTAAACCGTCGCAGGGGGACAGGCCCGACCTGAACCTGCGGTCGGGATCCTTGGCCGAGCGTGCTGCGGCGGCGGCCCTCGGCGGCGTGCCGTGCCCTGCAGGCCGCGGAGCGCGCACAGCGCGCCGCGCGGACGCGTGCTGCTGCTGCGGAGGAGGCGGAGGAGGAGGAGGAGGAGGAAGAGGAGGAGGAGGAGGAGGAGGAGGAGGAGGAGGAGGAGGAGGAGGCCCAGCGTCGGAATAGGAGGAGGAGGAGGAGGAGGAAGAGGAGGAGAGGAGGAGGAGGAGGAGGAGGGCCAAAGCCGGCGGCGCGGCACACGGAGCCAGAGCTCCTGCTCGCATGCTCGGGCAGTTGCCTCTCGTCTTGGGGGGCGGCTCGGGGGGTTTGGAAGTGGATGGGCCCTGAGAGCATCGGTCAAGGGGGGGAGAAACAGAGGAGAAACAGCGGCACAAACAATCAGACGTTCGACGGTTCGCGCGGACCTCGTGGATCTGCGCCGGAAAAACCACTCCCCGGCGCGTGGAGCGCGCGCAGGGGGCGGCGCCGGAGGCGCCGCCGAGGGGGCCCAGCGGAGATCCAATAAAAAATCCGCGCGGAGCGCCAAAAATCTATGTCTACGGCGCTGTGTCTTCGGGGAGAGGCACCGGCCAAGGGGGGGGGGAGACACGCAGATCTGCTCACGGCCGTGCCCGGGCCCCTCCCGGGGTCCAGAGCAGGTGCAGTCTGCCGCCCCGTGTGGGGATATTCGTTGCTGGCGGCCCCCCTGGGCCTGAAAGGCGGGGCCGCAGAGGGTAAGACCCTTCTCGGGCCCAGCACCTCGAACCTCGTCTCATTGAAGGGGAACTGGAACACACAAATAAATACACACAAACAAAAATAGCCCCCATATTTTCCCATATTTTCTGGGTTTTCGTCTTCCCCCCACTTCCCATATTTTCCCATATTTTCCTGGGGATCACCGATTAATTGTGTCTGTGTGTTTTTTCCTCTCCTGACCATTGTACTTACGGACAACATCCCAGAAATCATGCCGAGCACCCAGAAAAGTATCGAAGCAGCGTCGAACGAGTATCGCCTCCCCAGGGGCCCGACGAGTGCTCGATTCTTCTCTGGCGATCAAGGCCAAAACAGGTTGGAGCGTGATAAGCATCGCCCCCAAGTCCTGCTCGCCAGGTCCACTGCTGGGCCACCTCAGGTCCCCAGCCGACTCCCAAGCTGTTTGACTCTCTAAAGTTGTTCTTGGCAGCGTACCCGAGGGGGAAAGTGAGGAGCAGGCCTTCTGGCGGTAGGCGGCGGGGCTCCTCAAAGACGCCCTCGTGCCTTCTGAGAAATTGTCCGTCTTCACGGAAATCGGGAGCGGCCAAGAGGGGGGCGTCCAAGACGGGGGGGCGCAAATCATGGCCGGCGGCATGTGCGCGGCCCCTGGGGGGGCCGAGGCACGTGATGAAACAAGAAGAGGCGCCATGAGATCTGGGGAAATATCATGGCCCACGCCATGATATCCCCCCCCCCCCCTAGTCATCACCCCCCTCTTTTCCGCACCCGAGGAAAGCCCAGGAAACTTCCCAGAAGGCCAGAGGCCCTCCGAGCCTCCCGAGAGGGCCCGCGCCTTCTCGGGCGCCTGGCAGCTTCTGGGGCACAACTCAGCTCTCCCGCCGCCGCTCGGGCCGCTCCGGGCACTCCCGGAACGCCCTCGGCGAGGTGCAGCCGCTGGAGCGCACTCCGAGGCTGGAAAACCTAGGAGAATCGAATGACGACGTCCGAAAACCTCGCACCTCGAAACCGAAAATCCCTCTCACTTCCCCCCCCCCCCCCCCCCCGGGGCGCGCCGCCGGGTGTCTTCTTGGGCCCTCGTCGTCCACGCCCTTCTCTGCTCCTGCTCCTCGCCTTCTGCCCGGGAGGGAACCAAGAGGCACCAAGAGGCACCGATACCGCTGTCTCCCCAGACCTCTCCCAGGGGTACGTCCTGAGCAGGACTGCGAGGAGAGTCCAGCGGTGGCGACGATGGCCTCCCTGGAGGCCCAGACAGGCGAGAACGAGGGAAGGGTAGCTGTACGGGGACCTTTCCCTCCTCCGACTGCTGCTCCCGCCCGCGCAAGAGGAAACTGATGCTGCCGCCGCCGTGGCTGCTGCCGGACGGACTGCTGCTCCCCTCTCGCCGCCGCCTCCCCTTGCGCCTTCCGCCCGTGCCTCCTGCTACTCATCGTCCATCATCCTCGTCCTGAACGTCGGCCTCGTCCTCGTCCTCGTCCTCGTCCTCGCTCTCCTCCTCCTCCTCCTCCTCCTCATCATCATCATCAGCATCATCGTCATCATCACCACCACCACCACCATCATAATCATCACCATCATCAGCATCATCATCATCATCACCAAGATTATCAGCATCATCATCATCATCATCATCATCATCATCATCATCATCATCATCATCATCATCATCATCATCATCATCATCATCATTATGATCAGCATCATCATCATCATCATCATCATCATCATCATCATCAGCATCAGCATCAGCATCAGCATCAGCATCAGCATCAGCATCAGCATCAGCATCATCATCATCATCATCATCATCATCATCTGCACCATCATCATCAGCCTCATCACCACCAGCATCATCATCATAATCTTCAGCATCACATTCATCAGCATCATCCTCATCATCATCAACATTATCGTCGTCATCATCTTCATCATCATCGTCGTCGTCATCATCATAGTATCATCATCACCAGCATCAGCATTATCCTTATCATCATCAGCATCATCACCATCATTATCAGCATCATCACCATCATCATCATCAGCATCATCATCATCTTCATCATCAGCAGCATCAGTATCACCATAAGCGTCCTCGTATTCATCGCCCTCCTCCTCCTCATCATCATTATCATCATTACCATCATTCTCATCATCCTCATCATCCTCATCACCATCCTGGTCCTGCACGTCCATGTCCTCCTCTGCCTCCTCGTGCTACCAGGGCCTGGCACCAAGCGCGGTGCCAAGGCACCCCGGGTCGCGGGGCATCAGTAACGGCACGGTCCTCTTGCCAAGCTCAGCTCGGAGCCCCGTAGAATAAGCGCGCAGTATGACCATATGTAAGGTGTAAACCAATGACTTAGAGCGAAATCTCGGCCAAAGGCTCCCTGCACCGTGCTGGGTGTTGATATTGCGTTGAGGCGTGCGTAGGAGGAGGAAGTAAAGACAACAGTGAGCTGCAAGGATGAACTTGCCAGACTACCTGTGTCCATAAGGCTGGCGTGATTATACCAGCTCCTCAAGCACGGGGCACCAGTCCCCACAGCTATGGTGGAAGTCAACAGACCCCTACAACATACCGATGTCGTCCGGATCGGCAATGTGCCAATGTTGTCGTTGTCGTCGGGCAGACGAGGCAATCATCTGCCCAGGTCTTACGTGGCGGCGGCGCCACCTGTCCTGAGCGCATGCCACATGATCACTGTCGCCGTCTGGAACGCGGTACCACGCGCCACGAGCACAACAGGCAGAGAGCTGCGGACCAAAGATGTTCACAGCACATCCTGTCATAATGGACCACATCAAGGTGGGTCCCAGAAATGCCCGCCGCTATTGCCAACACGCATCGCGCCCGAGCCTCTGAGACATCAAAGGCTCCCTGGGAGCAGAGCGAACTCCTCCAGAAAGGGGAAAAAGGTCTCCGTTGCGAGAATATTTGGAGCTGCCCCATTCCTGTAACAGGAAGCCATGATCGCGACTGAAGTGCAAATCGGGCCACGGACCCCCCTCCAGGCAACCCACCGAGAAGCGGGATGAGGGAACAGGGCGACAGATCTCAGATTCGGTTGCGACTGTTAGAAAACCCAAAGGAAGGGCGAACCCGCCCCACAGTTCAGCGACTCTGTTGCGAATGTCAGATCCCTAAGGGGCGGGCGAGCCCGTCCTATCAGCGGCATGGGGCAAGAGGCCCCTGTTTCACCTTCCTCCCTTTCCCTGCCCACTTTGCGATACGTGGCGGCTTGGTGAAGTGGCCGATTGGGCTTCTTGGATGCGCCTCTTGAAAATTTCTTGTGCGTCTGCTTTTGGCTGCACCCTCCTGGACCGCACACCCCTCACTGCCCCTCCGTGTCATGCCCCCGCTTGGCTTTTTTTGAACACCCGGCGACCACCTCCACTAATCGATTGCGTACCACTGCGCCAACGTGCTCGCCGCCACTTTTGGAGTGCCACCCCGTGGGGGTCCAAATCCGACAGCGTCGGCAGAAGGTGTTGGGATGCATTGGGGTGCGGAGGCAGTGATGGCCAGCTGGATGATGGCCAGCGGGGGTGCGAAGGGGTGATAGCCAGCGGGATTGGAGCATCGCCAGGCGTTCCGCAGTGGGCACCTCGACACCACCGATGTACAGCATCCCTCGTTTCAGGCTGCGTGGTGGTGCTCCTGGGGCCCCGCTCCCCGACAAGGCCTTGGGTGCTGGAGATCCACTGGTGTCCTACGGATGCATCCGAGATGGTCTTCCTCCTCGTCATGTTCGCCTACCCTTCCCCCCAAACCCTCCGCCTCCTCCTCCTCCTCCTCCTCCTCCTCCTCCTCCTCCTCCTCTTCCTCCTGACGCTGCTGATGCTGGCATGAAGGGCGAGACTCGACCTCCTCCTCCTCCTCCTCCTCCTCCTCCTCCTCCTCCTCTTCCTTCTCCTCCTCCTCCTCCTCCTCCTCCTCCTCCTCCTCCTCCTCCTCCTCCTCCCCCGCCTTCATCGGCCTCCCCGCGCACATCCCCACCATCCTCCCCCTATCGCCCGTCCTTCTCTCATAGCACTCCCTCACCATCCCACCCTCGTCTCCATTCATGTTCCTCCATCGGTCCCCTTCATTCCTTTTGGTCGTCCACGTCCTCTTCAGCTTCCTCGTCCCCTTTCCCCCCACAGTGAAGGAGAATGCGGACCAGTATGGAAATGATCATGGACCAACGAAGTATGCCGCATAGCTTCAGTAAATAGTAATCGTGATATGACGAATGGAAGCGATTAGCAGGAAGAACGGATGAGGGAAGACAAGCAGGATGCGATACGAGGAAGGAGGAGGCGGACATTCAGGAGAATGTGGAGAGGCGGATGGCGAATAGTAGGAGGACGCGGGGGGGGGGGGGGGGAGGAGGAACGAGAATGGGAAGGGGAAGCTCTTCTGCCGTGCCGCGGGCATTGCGACAGCATGCCTCTCAGTGGCCAGCAGCGCTGCATGGAAGGCGAGGCTGCTAGGAAGCTCCTGGAAGAGCAGTAGGGGCAATAGCCTGGCGCAGGGCGAGGTTCGCTGGCCTCACAAACCTGGGCACCCCTGGGAACGACCAGAGCCGCGGTGCTGGGAAAGAACAGCGGTGTGCAGCGCACCTGGGGGGGGGGACGCGGGAGGGGGGCGGGCCTTCTCGGGAGGCTCGGAAGGCCTCTGGCCGTCTGCGAGACGTCCTACACCGCTCCCGAAAGCACAGGTCATTTCTCGGAAGACGCGAGGGCTTCTGAGAAGCCCTCCCCTCACTTCCCCCCGGGTCAGCCGCCGAAGCGGGGGAACTGAAGGGATAGAGAACCGTGAAACATATGAGCCCAGCAATCCGCTGCTTGCGCGGAAGGCATCAACTGTCACGGCGCGCCCGCGCGCAATTGCTACACGAATAACTGCTGACCCGTTGAGTGGCACAGGGAGGAGCATACACCACCGTGACATGCAATCTTTGCATTCGAATGCAGATCCTATGATCCCCTATTCCTGTAAACATTTCCAGCATGACGTGCGGATGGCAGCGGTCGGTGGACTAAAATCGGTCGCTGTATGGCCTTTGACACCGCTTGTTCACAAAAAGGAGCCAAGAACATCCCAACGCCACACCGCAGACTATTTCGAACGAGATGCACGCGAAATAGAAATACACCGCAAACTCCTTGCGAACCTGGGTACGGAAACTCTTTCGCCACGGCGATGTACTAACAACGGTAACCGAAAGATATCGGAGCGGGTTGCGCTGCGAGATACATTCGACAAAAGGGGGCAGGTCCCCTGACAGGAGGGCCGCCCCGCAGAGACTCGCCGCGCAGGCACAGGCAAGAGGATAAGCATGGCACACAGCTTCAACGAATCGCTGGCATCGGCAGAGCAAGCGTTGGTAGCCATGCGTCCAGGGCGCGCAGCATGCCATTCCGAGAATGGCGGCGGGGCCCACAGGGTGGGCCACTGCGCAAGGACTCAGCGGGGGTCAGACGCGGAGCAGAGGCTAGGCCCAGAGGCAGGCGTAACACGACGCGGACAGGAAGCGGCAAGCCGTTGGCGAGGTCTAGGCCTGGGAGTCCCTGCGCGGGCAGCGGTTGAGAGAGAGAGAGAGCCCTATAGACCCCGCTGCCGTTGGCTGTACACTCCTCGCCCATGGTGCTTGCAGGCCAGTCGCTCCTTGGCGCACCTGCTGCTGTGGCTGGTGCGAGAAGGGGGCCGCCCAGGCCGCCAGTGCCAGGGGCAGCGCTGTCGGGCGGCGGCCCGGCAAGCGTGCCAAGCACACTCGACCTCCCCTTCGCCAGGCGGGTCACGGGACACCGGGAAGCTGAGCCCAGTCCCAGGGCGATTCTCGCGAAACTTCGGCTGCACTTCTCGCTGCCGGGCGCCATCGCGTGGCAGGTCCCCCAGATCGGGTACATGGCGCCTGGCTCTCACATGCTAGGGAAGTTCCATGCCGAAGGGTCTCCCGCCGAACACGACTTGGTGGAGCTGCGGGTCTGGTGGCTGTACGACCAAGCGTGGAGTCCGCTGCCGCGGCACAACTGCGGGCGGCGCGGCGCGTGAGTCATAACAACATCCTGACACGGCAGCAACGACTGAGAGAACGCGTGGGAATAAGCACCAAGGCGAAGCCTGGGGCACCTCGGCAGCGGAATACAACATACGTGCGGAGTGCCAACGGCACCGTAGCGCTGGCACAAACAAAGAGAGCGCGCGCAGCGATGCCGATGAATCAATGAGCGTGGTTCGCTAGGATGTGATCCTCGAGCCGCGTGTGTGCATTGGCGACTACATGTCCCGCCCTACATTGTGAATGCTGAGCTCAGCTCGAAGCGCGCGAAAGCGGAAGAAAGAGCAAGATGAACGGCATGGAGGAGGATGAACCGGGGAGGAGGTGACAGAGAAGAGGCGGGAGGAGAGGAGGACAGAGGCAGTGCAGGGTGGGGATGAAGATGAAGGGACCCCCCCGCAATAGAGAGGGCCTCCCCCCCAATGGCGCCTCTGGGCACCCGGCCGGCGGCGGGGACGTTTGGCACTCCGCCGCCACGCGCAGGCGATCCCGTGCCGCCGCCTCCGCCTCAGTCCTCTCGGGCGGGGCGCCCCTCCGCCTCCACCTCCGCCTCGTTCTTGCAGTTGTCGTGACCAGGCTCGAAATTGTCCCCATCCCTGAGATGAGCCAGCCCGAGACGGTGCTCAACCTTCGGGGGTCCCTTTCAGAAGACCGCGGGGATCCCCGATATCGACACTGAACCAAGTCGATGCCAATCACAGGGGTGGGGATCTGTTCCAAGCCGGTCATGCTGCGAGAGAAGTAGGCGATCGTATCCGTGCTTCTCAGTAAAGGGGTGGTCAAACATCACCGCATCAAACGCAAAGTCGAATGGCGCATCGAGCGAACGCTCTATGATGGCGTGGCCGCAGGCCCCACACGATGCCCACCGGGCATAGCCGCGGAGCGGGGCTGGCCGAAGAAGTCGCCGCAGTAAATGAAGCCGGGCACCGGGCAGCAATCCTGCGGAAACGATCCAGCCCCAACGATCTCGGGCGCTGCCTAGTGTGGGCTCCAAGTACAACAAAAATGGCCAAGGACAATCCGCTCTTGAGCGGCCCAAGGCCGCTGGAGGCACGTGCCTCCACAATGCGCGAAGAGCAGAAGGCAGCGAGACGGAGGCAAACTGAGACGCTGCAGCCGCCGAAGCCGCCTCCGGGGCAAGAGCCACAAACGTCTCTCGCAGCCGGCAGCCCCGCAGCCCCCCTCGAAATCAAGCGCAAGCTTTCCGCGCGGCGTGGCGGCGCCCCCGGGCCCCCATTGCCAATGCTCGCTCCGAAATTTGCGGCTTCAATCGCAAGAAGATCTGACCCCTGTGGGCCGCGTGTCGCGCGGCGACCAACATCAAACACTTGCGCTTGACTTCGAGGAGGGTTGCTGTGCCCCCCCCCCCTTAAGTTCGGTGGCAACTCATGGGAGCATCCCATACCATCTCGTCGGCTCTTGCGAATCGACGCTAGTCGACGCTAATCGACGCCACATCGACGCGAATCGACACTTTCGTCGGCGCCACCTCGTCGACTCCCCGACGCTACTCGACGCGAAAGACAGAGCTGCGAGGGTCGCAGGCCTCCCGTGCCTTGCTGCCGAGAGAAGAGACGGGGGCGGGGCCCTCCCCCTGTGCTTCCGAAGCTCGCCCCTCCCGTGACGAGCCCTCTCCGCGACGACCCTCGCGCCCTCGAGAAGGGCTCCCCTCCGGACGCCGGCCCACGACCTGGAGCAGCCACGGCAGGGGCCGGTCTGCGGGGGGTCGGTCACAGACAGGGGGCCGCTCCACGACTCGCAAAGTGAGTACTCGCAAATCCCCCGATCCTGATGCCTCCCTCTCTTCTTCCTCCTCTTCCTCCTCCTCCTCCTCCTCCTCCTCCTCCAAACACCTCCTGCTCCTCATTCAGGTCTCCCTCCTCCTCCTCCTCCTCCTCCTCCTCCTCCTCCTCCTCCTCCTCCTCCTCCCCCTCCTACTCTCGCCCTCGGATTTACGATCCACTCGAGGCGAACATGTGTGTTTCCAGACGTTTGCAACAAGGCACTTTGCGAGTAGCGGAGTCAAGCCACCCCAGCCTATCTGGAGTCTCGGTGCGACCATTGCCGGCCAAACGTGCGCCTTCGGAGGCGTGTGGAAGGGGCGCGCACGTGGCGTACGGTGCAGTCGGGCCTGGGCCAGAAGAGCATCCTTCGAGAGCACGGGACCCTCCGTCGGCCACACCAAACAGAACATCCGAGGGTGACCCCCCAGGATGCGCAAGAGCAAGCAGATCAACAGAACACGAAGCACGCGAGGGTACCATCCCCGAACAGACCTCGTCCCTGTGCCTCGGCCCGAGGGTACGGATCCCCGCAAGCAGCACAGCAGACATCCGCCCAACACAAACTCGCCGTCGAGCCTGGGCCCGGGACGGGCCCCCAGGACCCCTGGCGTCCGACGTCGTGGCCTTGCCGCAGAGCGGCTGGGGGTTGACCGTCCCGGCAGTCCTGGAAGCCTACACCATGACGTGCTCGTATCGGCGGCGAGCGAGGGGAGGGAGCGAGAGGGGGCGGGCCTTCTCAGAGGGCTCGGAAGTCCCCTGGCCTTCTGAGAAGCTGTCTGAGCCTTCCCCGAAGACGCTGCAAAAAACTTCTCAGAAGGCGCGAGGGCCTCTGAGAAGCCCCGCCGCCTTCGGAGAAGGCCTTTTCCTTCCCACTCCCCCCCTCGCTCGCCGCCGATCAACAAATGAATGTTCTAGAAGTATAAACGATAATCTTATAACATGCACCCAATGCGTTGAAAGAAAACGATATCAGCCAGAAATGTTCTAAGAACATGTCGTGCAGACCATAAAAGGTCCTCAGAACATTCTTTGGTGGGCCTATAGGCAAGCCAGGACGCTCCGCCACTGCTTGGTGAATGACTCCCCAGAGGTCTGGACCTCTCCCAAGGGCCCGGCTTCTCATGCTGGCCCGTTGCTGGAAGGTCCCGACGAAGCCAAGCAAGCACCCCCTGGCGCCGAATATTCCCGAAAGCCGTGCCACTCATCTCTGGGTGTTCAATGCGTGGCCTCAGAAGCCCCGACCCCTTCCTGCGGGAATTTGCGTATGCGTCCCGAATCCATGTTTGATGGCCTCGGGACCCGATAACGAGCCAGGGGGCCAACATCTTGGAAAAACGTGTTCACGTCGGGTTCACGAAGGGTTCAAGTCTGATTCGCGTAGGAAAATCGCAGCGCGAACGCCGACCCATATCTGATGGAGAAGGCGTGTGGACAAGATAATCTAACTATTGCGCGCCGCGCGAGGCCTCCAAGATGTTCCTCATTCGGCGACCAGCCCGGGGGGGAAATGAGAATGGGCGGGCCTTCTCAGAAGGCTCGGAAGTCCCCTGGCCTTCTGAGAAGCTGCCGAATCCTGCCCCGAAGACACAGAACACTCCTCCGAAGGCGCGATGACCTCTGAGAAGCCCCGCCGCCTTCTGAGAAGGCCTTCTGAGAAGCTCTCTAATCCTCCCCCGAAGACACAGAACACCCCTCAGAAGGCGCGACGGCCTCTGAGAAGCCCCGCCGCCTTCTGAGAAGGCCGCCTCTTTCCCGCGCCCCCCCTCGCTCGCCGCCGACCCGCGGGCCAGAGGGGCGGCCGAGCAGACGCGGCCCCGAGGCAGCCTCCCCCCCGCGGCAACGCGGCGAGTCCTGCGGTGCAGCTCCGCCTCAAGGAGCAGCCGCGCCTCTCGTGCTTGGGGGGCGTGTCGCGGCGCGGCCGGGCGGCACGGCGACGACGACGAAGACGACGACGACGGCGACGACGACGATGTCGATGACGACGACGATGACGACGACGACGACGGCTCACGACGACGATGTCGATGACGACGACGACGACACCGACCACGACCTCGACCAAGACCACGACCACGACCATGACGACCACCACGACCACGAAGACGAGAGCGAGGTCGACGACGACGGCGGCGATGCGACTGCGGCGGAGAACGACGGCTCACGACGACGATGGCGGCGGCAACGACGACGACTGCGAGGACGCACGACAGCCAATGCACGGCCCACGGGGTCGGGCGGGGCAGGCCCCGAGATTTCGGGTATCGTGTCTTTCTTGGGGGGCGGCCCGGGGCCTCGCTGGGCCTTCCGCACGGTTCTCGTCGCCACGGCCGGAGGCGCCTCGAGGCTCCGGCGCCAGAGAGCGGCGCTGGGCCAGCTCTGGCGGTTGAGCCTTGGCCTCCGGAGCTCGCTCGCGTCGTCGCCGGATCCCGTTGGGCCCCCCACCTCAATATCAACCCACTTGTCACATCAATCCCCTTCTCAACCAGTGGCCGAATGCACACAAAGGTCGGAGTGGCCTCTGTGCTGGTGCAAACTTCAGGCTGAACGCATGCTTGCTCAGCCCTAGCTGGTACCCGCGGTGCTCTATATGCGGAGTGTGCCATACAGCATGCTTCCAACATGGGCGCGGCACTATTCATGCACGTGTCCAATAGAGATAGAACGAGAGAGAGAGAGAGACAAAAGGAGACTGGAGGGAGAGAGAGAGAGAGATGACAACAAACATATGATCTGAGAGAGAAACATGAAAGAAGAGAGAAAGAGAGAGAGAGAGAGAGACAACGAGATAGCTCACGCAACCCGGATTAACTAAACTGCCATCTTGATACGGTGTGTATTTGTGCACTTGTACGTGTTTTGTGGGTGCGCGCGTAAGTGTACCTGCACGTGTTCGTTAATGAGGCGCTGGCACCGTATGGCATGGAACAACATGGCAACGCACGGCCTAGCACGTTGCACCATAGCACGTCACGCCACACAATGGCACAACCCGGCGCGGCACGCAAGGTGTTCAATGCCACTGCTGTCCGCGTCTCTGGCACTTCCACTGATGTGCACGTGCACGGTCGCACTTCAATGTCCTGGGGGCGCATGGGGGGCCCTGAGGGCTAAAACGATCAGTGCGCACTTGGTCCACCACTCCAGGTTCAAATAGTGCAAATGACGTTCTACGGTGAAAAATGAGGCATGAATATCTGGCTTCACTTGTATGTGGCCTCGGAAATGCGCCGCTGGAATTTGAACTCACCACTGCATACCATCCAACTCCGATGATTCATCCGACAAATAAGGGACCCGTGTGGTCAAGCAGATCCGTGCATGATCATGATAGTCGACCCACCGTTTGTATTCCGGGTCGCACAGGTGGCCTGCAGGGTAGGATAAATTAGTGTGACCGTGGTCGAAATTTCACGCTTCCAAGCGGACCACGTGACCCCTCAGGATTAAACACTTCGGTGTATATGATCGGTTCCGAAGCTATTCAGGGTCGCCTATTTAGGTGGCTTCGCGGGCTCCTATTCTTTACCGCACCAACGCGGCCAAGATTGCGCGTGATTCTAATGTCCAATGCCTCCTGTCAGTGTTGTACACAGGCCCGTACGACTGATTCTACTATACAGAAGGAAGTCTGATGGCTCCGATGTTGCGCGCGCGACTCTGACAGCTGCACCGATCGGTGAATACTGTCATACCACAACTGCAGTCGAGACTTGCGCTAGGAGGTTATGCCAACACTGTCACACAAGAGCAGAGCACAGGAGCTGGATCGCTAAGCCCGTCGTGGCCAGCTGGATGTGAGCGCCAGGTCTTGAGACCCAGAGACCGATGTTAAACTCATGCCGCTCACAAGTGAAGTCTTCGGGATCGTGAAAGTGGGCCTTGATTGGCAATTCCAAACGGTGTGGTTTGCAAACGAGGCCGTCTGCACCCGCACAATGAGGTGTGAGCGAGGACCTCGGCAGAGTTTTTCGCCGCGGCGAGGGCCCTGGGAGGCCCGACGAGGGCAACGCGGTGGTCCCCAAGCTACAACGACGCAGATCGCAAACCTCACCCCGGCATAATCACGCCCTGTGTAGTCGCCAAGCTGAGCTTGAACACATGGGTGCGTGGCCACTGCAATGGGCGCGGGTGGTGCTGAGGGCTAAGGGGATAAGGGGCTTCTCAGTACATGCCGAGGTGGGCTATACCTGGCCTGGCTTAAGTGGCTTAGGTCTCAGGGGGATGAGATAACTCCGCTGAGCTGGCGGAGCCCATGTAGCCGGGATCGCTTACCCCGCTAGGCAACTTGGGGCATAAGTGACCAACATATAAGCTAGGTTGGCCAGATATGACCCGTCCTGGCATCCACTGGTAAACCCTCTATCCCCTTAGCACCCCCCGCGCCCATCCAAGCAGACCAGCACCGCCGAAACTTCCAAGGAGCCCAGGTCCCCGACCAGCAGAGATGATTCTACGAGGCCACGGGGCCTCCTCGGAACAGGGATGGGCAGAACCCTCGCGCCAAAGACCCAAAACGGCCAAAGCAGGCCCCCAGACAACCCTCCAGAAGCCCCCAAGAGGCCACCGAGCTGGTCCCGAAGAAGCCCCCAAGAAACCGCCGAGAAACAACACAAAAACAATGCACCATCACGGCCATGCCGCGCTGCAACGTGCTTCTCAGACGACCCACAAATACTCTACAAAACATGGCACCCGATGCTGTGCTAGCAAGGTGGCGAAGTTTGCCGTAAACGGCCGGGTATGCATCCCAATGGTATGCACCATTTGGGGCCTGAGTCCTGAGCTAACCTATGTTGAATGCTTTCAGCAGCGCAGCCTCAGCGTTGCGTTTGTGGAGACATTCAAAATTGGGGTCCGAGTAGGTGAGTTCAAAGATCGCGCTGCATCGCCAACATTGCCGACACATCGGCGACTTCAGCGATGCATCGGTGCCGTCGGCACGGAGAAGATCGGGCTCTGCATCGGCGATGCGGCGCGATGTTCCGACCCCAACCCCTTTCGGGAGGCCGGGAGTTTGACAGTTCGCCACGGCACTGGCCACAAGTGTCACCGCAGGCGACAAACAGGTCCGTATCCACGGCCACGCGGGCGGGGCCCCCGGGGCCGCGACCCCACGGATGCGGGGCGCTCCTTCGCGGAGGCTCCGAGTGGAACGTATCCGTGCGACCGCGTATCCGCGGGATCGAACCCAAGAATCCAGACCGCGAGGGCGTGGAAATGGATACGTCCGCCGCTTGTGCTGCGAGATGTAAGTCTGGCCTGTCCCTCCACAGGCGGCATACTCCAGAATGGTCCAGGAAGAATATGGTGACGATGTTGCAAACCTGTTTGGCATCTTTTCGATCTTCTCTGAATTTTTCCTCTGTTCCAACATCCGCCTGTGGGAGGAACTGCCCGACCGAATGCTAGATCCTCAGTGACCGGCGCGCGACCCGCGACGCGCAGCCTGCCCGTGGCGCGAAGTCTCAGCACGACCGGCCCGATCGCGGTGCCCGGCCTGCTCCCGCACCTCCGCGGCCTGCCGCTCGCACCGGACCTCCCGCCGCTCGGCCCGGAGCTCCTCGGCGAGGGCGGGGCCGCACTGCGGGGGGAGCGGTGGGATACGGTGGGGGCATCGGGCAAGGGACCTTCGGACAAGGACTCCGTCTGGAAGCCGGTAGAGTTTCCATTGTGTCTTGGCCATGGGTATCACTGCCGCCCTCATCACTGCCGCCCTCATCAGATGAGAAATCCCCCAGGGTCTGCGGCCTCCCGGGTACCTCCCTTAACCAACGCCACCGCCGTACTTAGAAAACCACTCACGAAAATGTTTGGTCATCTACATGGCGCCGAGTAGCGCGTCCAGAAGCGCGCGCAGCAGACGCAACGCATCTCCCTCACATGGCACCATTGAACGCTATTGAACGCTATTTGATCGTTACTCGGCATTATTTCGCGCGGCGCGCGCTATTGGGTGCTATGCGCTCATTGCAAGACAAGCGGAAACTTCTGTGGCTTACTGTTTGAAAATACCAGAACGACGGCTTGAACGCACGAGCGACAAATACATTCGGCCGGACGGGCCGCTCTGCGAGGTGAGTGGGACCCTCGCGGAGGGGGAGACCCGGAGACCAAAACAACGGTTATTGCTCGCGAGCGGCAAACGTATCCACATGTCAACCGATCGGAAGAAGTAGGTAGAAACATTAAGTAGGAAGGCGTCGAAAGTACATTGGGTTCCGTCCGCCCCCTTGGGAGGACGGAAACAAAAAGGTGAAGCCACTCGACAATTGAAGTAGCAAGGCGCATAAAGTAGATTGGGACATGGTACTTGAAACATACCTACTCCCAACGACCGATGAAGGTGAAGCCACTCGATCATTGAAGTAGGAAGGCGCTTAAACTAGAATACATATTGGAATTTGGGACCGCAAGAATACCCACTTTCAACTAATGGGCATCCGTGCCCTCGCGTCCTGGATCCCGGGGCGCGAAGCCAACGTGGACACGCGCTCGGCTGCGCTCCGCCCGCGCGAAGGCATGCGCGCAGAGCCGCCCCGTACCCGTGGGGTCGCGGCCGAGGAGCCCACCCCGTCGGGCTGTGGACATGGAGGATGTCTCCCTCAGGGGCCCGCATGAAGGAAGAGGAGGAGGAGGAGGAGGAGGAGGAGGAGGAGGAGGAGGAGGAGGAGAGGAGGATGGGGGCGGAGGAGGAGGAGGAGGAGGAGGAGGAAGGGGAGGAGGAGGGCAAGGAGGAAGGGAGCGAGGAGGGGGGGGAAGGCTGACGCGCTCGACCGTGGAGACCGGGGAACGCCCCGCGAGGCCTGGCGAGGCCCTGTGGGCGGCTGGCCCGCTGCCGGCCGGTATACGGACCTCTCGGCCCCCCCCGGGCCACAGGGCGCTCCGGCAGCCCCTCCCCCCTCCTCCTCCTCCTCCTCCTCCCGCCTTTTCCTGCCTCCTGTTGCCTCCTCCCTCCTCCCTCCTCCTTCCTCCTCCTCCCTCCTCCTCCTCCTCCTCCTCCTCTCTCCCTCCCTCCTCTTCCCTCCTCCTCCTCCTCCCTCCTCCTCCCTCCTCCTCCTCCTCCTCCTCCTCCTCCTCCTCGTCCTCCTCCTCCTCCTCCTCCTCATCATCATCATCGCACATCCCGAGGCACCACAGGCATCCCACGAGTTCACAACGATAATATAACATTGCTATATGCAAGTCTGCCCCTGACAACAGAGGGAAAGCATGATACGCAACACTGTGGTCGGTCAACCTCTGAGTCGAATGTGAGAAGGCATGGGAATCATTCACTGAAACGGCGCGGCATGCATGTGAGGCAAGCGGCCTGAACGCACACACACACAATCAAAATACAGCAAGACACAGGATTCAAAGAGGTGTGCGCGCGTGAGCTTCAGAGACAACTACAGCAGCAAAAACTACGATGCAAGCGGTCGTATCACACACAACACACACACACACACTTACAAAGACAAATACACTTGCAGAACATTGAATGCAAGAGGCGCGCGCGCACAACCGCGACATGGGTACTACTGCTGCTCACACGATGCATCGGTTGGCGGTCCGATTCCACGGATGCCTTGGGGTGAGCCGCGCCTGCCGCCGAACGAAGGGACGTCCCGTGGATGATGCAACAGATGCCGACCACTCCACCAATTCCTCGAGACGTTCGCTGACGAAGTTAACCTCGTCCCTGCGACGCACAAGCGGTTGAGCCCCCGCGCGGCACCGCACCCGACCAGGGAAGGAGACGATCTGGCGGTGCATCTCCTCCAGCTCCTGCAAAGCCAGCCCGTCCACCTCCTCCACGAGCAGGTCCACGTTACTGTCCAGGCCCTTGTCGGTACTGGTGATCGTGTCCGAGGCGGGGTCGGGCGCAACCGTGGCAGCATCCAGGGCCGCGTCGTCAGACTGCTCGGCAACTTCCTGCTCCTCGTGCGCCGCCTCCAAGCAAGCCACCACGGCAGGATGACCACGCCGAGCGTCAGCACCAGCAGCCAAGCCCCCAGCGCCAAAGCCCGCCACACGCGGTCGGCCAGTCGCCTGGGCAGTCACCCCCCGCAGGGGCCCTCTGGCCGAGCCACTGCTGGGGCACCCCTCCAACACAGACAGAAATTGAACGTCGGCGGGGGAATGGAATTCGCCCCTGCCCGACGAGCCCGCAACCTTCTCCTCGGGAGCGGCGGTTGGGCCAAGTCTTGTAAACATGCAGCATGGGTCAGGCAGCTCGAGTGACGAGAAGACAGTGGCCCCGCATGTGCACACGATGATAGGTGGGAGCGGCTCCCACCGTCCAGCCCCAGGAACGCAAGGAGGTGCATCGGCGCGAAGATCACCAGCTCCGCGACGGACACCCTCGCCCTTCCCGCTGCCGCCTCCCCGCTGCAGCCTGTTGAGCACCGTGCTGCTAGCCCTGCTCCTCCTCCTCCTCGCTCCTCGCGCCTCGCTCCTCGTTCCTCCCTCCTACCTCCCAGAGCGACACGCAGCCCGCGCCGAGCTACAGCGGAGGCCAGTCCACAAGAAAACTTCCACAAGAGGCCCAGCTCCGCGGCCCCAGGACGTCCACTGGTTCCTGGTGCGGGAGCGTCACGCTTTCTCTCCATCGCAGCATCATCGAGGGGCCAGGAGGGTGCCTCTTGGCATGGGCCGCCACTGCACAACGGTGTGGAACTCTTGCCCGGCGTGTCGCGGCGGCGGCCCCGGCGGCACGCCGCGCCCTGCAGGCGGACAGCGCGTCGCTCCGCTCCGGGTAGGGGGAGGCCGGGCAGGACTCGGACCGTCGACGCTTGGGGGCCAGGACGCGGTTGGCGTGCCGCGCCGAAGCGTGGTGGGCGAGAACCGGCGTCGGCGACACGCTGAGCAAACGCGCTCGACTGTGGGATGCCAAGCGACGGCATGAGCACCGACCCTGGGAGGTCCGCGCGGACTGCCTGGGACGGCGCTGGGCCCACCCCCTCAACCTGAGCAGCGCCTCCAGCGGCACCTCTGGTGAGCTCCGCGCGCCGCGAAAGGCGGATGGGGGTGGAGAGAGCGCTCCAGAGCCGACCCAAGATATCCGCGCGGAGATCCTCGGAAGAAAAGGTGACGCAACTTGTGGGCGATCTGAATGGATAGTGGAAGGGAGCGTAGCTCGGGCTCGTACTGCAAGAGAGATCGCAGATGGACTGGGCGTGGGCCTGGGGGAGCAACGGGGTGACTGCTCTGTCAGCGCATCGGGCTCGGTTTCGCTGCGATGTCGGAAACGGCATCCTCAACAACACCTTTTTGCGTTTTCGCACAGCGATGAGTAGGTGAAGGCTACTTCCGCTTAGGCAAACTCCGGGAGTAAACCTTGTCATGTAAGAAAAAGCCAACGTGCCGCATGCGAACAGTTCCTGAAGCCCGGAGGGCCAACAAATCGACTTCAACAACTCGTATACCGACGGTGACGACGACGAGAGAGCCGGACTACGCCCGCTTGCTCGCGAGCGGAATCCGTTGATCCTCGAGGCCCCGCGCTGCCTGAACTAATTCTGCAGCTTCTCGAGAGAGCCTGCCGTGTCCCGTGCAGCCAGAGCTGGCGCTGTGTGCGCTGCTGAAGCAACTTCGCCTGCGTGGTGAGCGTGGACCACGTTCAGGCTGGTCTTCTGCTAGTCCTTCAGCTCAACATGCTGCTTCTCCAGGGTGTTGGATCTCTTGCCGAATGGGATCGTGCTGCGTGCGCTCTATGCGCATGCAGATGCTCGCAGCACGGTGGTCGACGGTGATTTCATGCTGCCCCGTGAGATCCTTCACCTGCCGGGGGGGGCACGCATCGTCTACGAAAATCAACATCTCGTTCACCGTGTCCGTGGCAATCACCACCTCTGCTTCTGCTGCACGATGTCCATATCCTCGACGGCGCCAAGTCTCGGCGATGTACTAATGTGAAGGGGCCCTGGGACACACCAGTAAATATACACAAATCAAATGATTCCCCATATTTTCTTATATTTTCTGGGTTTCCGTCTTCCCCCCCACTTCCCATATTTTCCAATATTTTCCTGGGAGTGGGCGGTTAATTGTGTCAGTGTGTTTTTTCCCTCCTGATAATTACCTGGACTGACCAGCAGTCTTCACATCGACCTGCCGCTCATCCTGGGTGCGGCTGGTGCTGCAGGTGGTGGTGTTCCCGCCACGCTGCCGCACTGCCGTGGCTCCATCGCAGGGCTACTGCTCCTTTGCCGAAGCCTTCGTGGAGGACAGCACCGCGCGTGGTCTCGGTGGTGCCCCCTTGCGACCAGAAACAACATAGAACGACGGCGCGAAGGCTGGCTGAACCGTGCTGGTCAATGTCACCCAACTTCGTGCTCCGTGCGGAGCTATGCACGAGAAGCGGCCTGGGAGCTCGAAGAATACGGGCCGTTAGTACCTTCGCGCTCCCAAGCCGCCCAGCTCTCTGTAGAAGATCAGCTCCCCAGCCCAGCCCAGGCGCACCCATCTCGGCGCGAACTCCCGCACCAAAGCTCCCCGGATCTGGGAACCCTGAATCCGAACATGCTGCCATCTCTTGGGGGCGCATTTCTTACTTCCGCCGGCTTCCGCCAGACTTCCGTCGCCTTCCGCCGGCGGAAGAAGCAGTTTTCAGCTCCTGGGAGATAGCCAAGGTTCTCTGGTGTGGGAGGGGGGAGGTGACGGCCGATAGCCTGAAACTTTCTTTCGCTTTGGGCAGCCCCACGTCTGCCTGTGCGCACTCGGTACTGCGTACCATCTTCGGACCTGCGCGGACGACAAGGTCAGCTTATCCAGGGGGCGGGGCAGGGGGAGCGCCGGCAGGCCCACTAAACCAAGCTATCTCAAGACCCATACAGGGCAGTACCGAGCCGCCCTCGCTCTGCTCGGGGACGCACTGACCCGGGCCACAATGCAAACCCGAGTCGGCCGGGCATTGCGGGATCCTGCGGGATCCTGCGGGATCCTGCTCGCGAGCCTGGGCCAGTGCACCCCTGGCTCGTCTACCTCCTCTGGGTTCATCCGGGCCATCCTGCGGCGACTCTCGCTGCCTCTCGGGGCAGGACCCTGCAACATCTGGCGCTCAGACGGACCACCGTTTGCACTGCCTCCCGTTCCTATAGAGCCCCGACCTATACTCCTCCCGCCTCCCGCCGGCCTCCCGCCGAGGAAGAGATGGCAACCCCTTCCGGTCGGCGAAGGCGCGGCCGCTCCTGGAGCGCCTCGTGTGAGCACCCCCGCGGCAGCAGAAGCAGTGTCCTCCTACAGGCGGATCTTGCAGAGAAGAGCACAAACGATCAACAAAGATGCAAAGGTAGTAGAAACATCGTCCCGAGACTATTCTAAACATTCCTCCTGTAAAAAAACATGCCGACATAACAATAGAAGCTGGCAGCCGGCGGCGGTGCGGCGCGTAACCGCCGCCGCGCCCCTGGGTAACCACCGCCCAGCTCGCCACCTCCCCCTTGGCATTCCCGGGCGCCTCGGCCCCGCACCTCGGCGGGCACTCGTACCGCTGCCACTGCCGCAGAGGCAGTCCGCACCAGCGCGGGGCCTAGTCGGGGCAACCGATGGGCAACTTGTCCAGCGTACAAGAGAGAAAAAGAGAGAGAGAGAGAGAGAGAGAGAGAGAGAGGCGAGGACGAGGGCGGCTCACAGCGCGCGCACACGCGAGGGCAGGCTTGAGCCACACCCGCATGCACCTGTCGCTGGAGAAAAGGGAAACTGGGAGCAGAGACCAGACCGAGCTCAAGGAATCCCCCAAAACGTCCACGAGACACTGCGGCACCCCAGCAGAGGCTGCTGCGCACCAGGGCACAGCAGAGGGGCGAGGCGGACGAGCAGACGACGGAGGACGAGCAGAAGGAGGGGGCCGTGTGGAGCTCTCGGTCCGCCCTGTGCCTCAAAGGCCGGCCAGCGACCGCCTCAGCCTCAGGCCATCCCGACGAGCGGCCGCTGCCTTCCCGGAGCCGCGCCCCGCCGCGTCCGACGACGGGGGGGAGGTGCACCCCGCAGCATATGCCGAGCGGGCGGTGCCCCGACGACGCAGGGCCCCCGCTCCTCGGCCATGCCCTCCAGCTCCTCCTGCAGCTGCTCGCACCTCGGGCCCCGGCGGCGGAGGAGGAAGAGTCCGGAGGCGCGGCGCGTGGGCGGCCCGGGGGCTGCGGCCGCGGAGCGGGGGCTCGGGGAGCGGAAAAAGGGTGGGGGGGGGGCGGGAGGGCGCCAGCGGCGGCCAGGAGCTCCTGCTCGGCCTGTCGCGGCCACGGCCCCGGCGACGCGCGACGCCCTGCGAGCCGACAGCGAGTCGCTCCGCGCCGCGGGGCCTGGGGATGGACGCCGCTCGGGACGTTGATGCCTGGGGTCTGGGGCGTGGATGGCGTGTCGCGACGAGGCGTCGTGGGCCAGAACTGGCAGTGCGACACGCTAAGCGACGCTCCCGACCACATACACCTGTACCGATCCTGGCCAGGCCCATCCTGGGCCCAGGATCGGTGCATGCACGCTCCCCTGGCTCGGCCAGGAAGTCGGCTACACGCAAGAGTGACCCTTGACAAGGGTGACCCTTAGTGCGCGGCCCAAGGGGGAGCCCTAGGGGGCCTCACCAGGCGCGCAAGCCGCTGCGATCGCACCATCGCATTCAGCGATCGGGGGGCCCCACTGGGCCCGCGCCGAAGGCCACTCCTGCGAAAGTATGAGCATGGCGCTCATGCACCGTACCATGCCTGGACTGCGTTCAGGCCCCGCTCACACGCGGTACGGTGATTAGTTTGCTCGCCTCTGGAGGTTGGAAAACTATGCACCGTACCGTTCCTGGGTCGAACATCGACGACGCAACGAGAGGCGCCAACGCGGTACGGTGCATACAAAAATCGTACGAGGACAAAGAGCACACTGGCATGCAGTCGGGGAAGGCCCACGCACCCATCCTGGGCCCAGGGGGGCTGGGCTGACCCGCGTCAGCTCGGCTTCGCGCCCCGCGCACCTGGGACGCTCGAAGCAGGCAGGGAAACCGGTGGGCGCGATGCCCCAGGACACGTTTGGTCCAGCACCGACTGCGGCCACTGCTGGGCGGGCGGCCTTCTGTCGGCGGCGCGCCCGGGGGGGGAAGTGAGAAGGGGTATAGGCCTTTCTTCAGAAGGCTCAAAGTCCCCCGGCCTTGTGAGGAATTCTGCAAAATTCTCTAAGCCTTCCCCGAAGACGCAGAAAGCCTCTCAGAGTCTCAGAAGGCTGGAGGACTTCCGAGAAATCCCGCCGCCTTCTGAGAAGGCCTTCTCCTTCTCACGTTGCCCCCTCGCTCGCCGCCGATTCTGCCTCAAATGGACAACGTCCGCGCCGACACCGACCGTGAGTCCTGTTCAAACTGCAGAGGAAATGCTGTCGGCCTGTGTAACCTGTTTTGTCTGGTCGGAAGAGAAGTAGGTAAAAACATGAAATCGGAAGGCGGATCAAGTAGATTTGGTTCAGGCACTCCCAGAGAATAACAACGCACAGCAAGAGCAGATCGAGCCTAGAAGTACGAAGGCACTTGCAATATATTGGGATCGAGGAGCCTGAAAGTACCTACTTTCAACGACTGATGAGTACCTGTTTCCATAGTCCCGAGCGGGAAGCGCTACGCGCGGCTTCTGAGCAGGACCGTCCCCGCATTTAGAACCAACAATGTTGTAATAACAAAAACAATGTTCTTAGAGCATGGCCACTATGTACTAGAAACAAGACGCAAGACAATCTCGGCAAGACCTGCTCTAAAGACCTTTTATTGTGCAGACCACAACAACAACAACAACAACAACAACAACAACAATCACTTTACCCGAACGCTCAGTGTTCTCACCAGTGCCAGGGTTCTCATGCGACGCCAGCCAATACCCCCACTTTGTGGGGGGGCAGTGCAAGCTCTACCAAATATCCACACGACTCTTCGCCACCACCCACACCCAGCTTCCCGCCCTATGACGTTCGGACACTTCACTTCGTGGCCTGCGGACGACCGTGGCTACTACACTGGCGTGGAGTACACACCCACAGAAGTTGTTAAGCCTACGTTCGTACACCCACAGAAGTTCTTAAGCCTTGTTAACCCACAGAAGTTGTTAAGCCTTCCACAGAACATCCGAGGGCGCAACCTATGGCGCAACCGCAAGGGATTGTGGCCCCTGGCAGGCGCGCGAACCCCGTTGCAAGAGCGTGCGAAAGTAGCTCGCGCGAGCTCATGTAACATAAATGTTGGAAAACCATTGGTTTTTTTTTAGGATTCGGACAGCGCGCGCGGGTAGAAATTTTGAAAAGTCGTGCAGGTGTTTTTCGAGGACCTACGGTGCGATTCGTGTGATTTTATGATGCGCGGTGCTAAAATTCTTAAGAAGCCCAATGGTTTTTGGAGATTTCGGCGTGCGCGCGCGAAGAAAAAACGAATGTGTCCCGCATGGTATTATTTGACAGGGATGATGGCCCTGGCAGGTGCGCAACCGTTGTCGCAGAAGTTCGAAAAAGTTGCTCGCAAAAGCCCGTTTGACAGAAATGTTTAAAAAGTGTTGGGTTTCCTACGAATCCGCAAGAGCGCGCGGGATGAGATTTTGACATTTTTTTGTTGAAAAACCATTGGTTTTTTGATGTTTTTATGTTAAAATCGCTCCGAACACTAAGCTTTTGGAAGGATTTCGTCTTGCGCGCGCGAATGTCCACTTTACCTTATTTTTTGCAAGGGATTCTTGAAATTTGATTATATTAGAACAAGAAATGTCATTTTATAGTGTTTTTTGCAAGGGAAAACGGATTACAACAAAACAACCGGATCTTGATGACATCGTATTACCTGAGGCTTCCTCACGAAAATGATGAAAATGTAGCTGCGGCCTAGGCGGCGCAGGGGGGCCGTGCACCAGGGGTCCCAACAATAATTATTCTTTAGAATTAATAATGTTCAACAACAACAACAACAACAACTCTCATCACAATCTTCGGCGGGTCTGTATCGGGGAGACGCAAGACTCGGGTACGGGGGACTCGGGGTTGGCCTGACGAGTTCCGGCTTACTCGAGTCTCACGCTTCCCCGACTATCGGCAAACCGCGCCGCTTCGCCACTGCTTGCGGCCTCTCTTCGCGCCCTCCCACGCCGCTGACCCCCGAGGGCCGCGGCCGCCCGAGCAGGGCCACAAGCGCGCGCGCGACTGCCCTCGGCCGCGCTCCCTGCGGGAAAAGTCCAGGCTGGCGGCGGGGGGGCTGGCCGAGCAGGGGCAGGGGCAGCAGCTAGGAGGCCACATGCGAACCTTACCCCAAGACCACACGATTTCTAAGGGGGGAGGTGGGTTCACTTCGTTGGGGACCTCCCGAGCGACTTGAACCCCACCTCCGCCACTGGAAATCGTGGGGTTGTGGGGTAGGGTTCGCATGTGGCCTCCTAGCCAGTGGAGAGGCCGAGGGGCAATAAGCGATGGGATGAGCCGAAGCCAGCACGAGGGCGAATTCGGGCGAGGATCAAAAAACGCGAACCTCTGAGAGCTGGCGGCTCTGGAGGAGGGGCGCCGCGGACTTCTCCGAGCGCTCCGGAACGGATTTATCCTCGTCCCAGCCCCGTCCAGTAAGACCCTGTTTTCACTCATTCGAGATGACGCCCGTGACCGGCCTTTGATCCCCCCCCTTCCCCGGCACCTGGACACGTCACGACTCGCGCCGTGTGGGAACATGCCACTGCTGAGCATTCCCACACGGCGCCGGCGCAGATCGAGACGTGACCGGCCCCCTCCCTCTTCCCTCCCCCCACACCCCCCCAGTCGCGCCCGCTGTCGCCAGGCACACAACCTGCTACCGCCACGAACCCCGACCTTGGAGGGCAGGTGGGCGTGACGTGCGAGGAAGAGCAAAACGAAGGAGAAGCAACAGTCTCGCAGGCCCACCGAGGGGAAGCCTCGACCGAGGACTGGCGACGAGTCGCCGAGACAGAGCGGCGACGGGGCCCCTGATAGCGAAGCCGCACGCTCCTGTCCGACCCCTGTCTGAGGCACATTCTGTACATGGGATGCTGGCTGCGCTGCAGCCTAAGATGTCAAACTCTCAGTGCCCCACGCCTTCGGACATTACTCCATGGAGGCATCTTGGAGACTGAAGGTTTAGAGGCGCACCAGCAAAATCGTCGTCTATTCGCGAGGTGGTTCGATGGTTAAAATGCCGCAGCACAGGTTGTACACGTAACATCGCTTTTGTTGGTGCAACTAGAGCTGTGCTTCACGCTACAAGTCGGCTGAAGCACCTGAAAACGAATTCTTGGAACACGCTGTGTTGACGGAGGAAAATGCGCTCTGTGAGTGAAACTTGGAACCATTAGGGATGATGCGTGACATGTCTATATTATGTTTAGTGTTTATGGTCTCGAGCGGTCAAGCCCGTACTTCTCTCTCCTCTCTGTTTCCTCTGGCGTCTGGCCTTCTTGAATGACGCGGTTTCGTCGGCAACCACCGCCTGCAGAGTCGGATCCTGAGTGATCCCATCGAGCCAGGCCACCACCCCCTGCTCCAGATCCATTTTCGGCATGGTCAGTGTTTTTAGCCATCTCCCGCAGCAGCTCATCAATTGCCGCCATTTGAAAACGTTTTAAAGAGGGTTGCAGTTCCAGGCCAACAAAAAATGCATCACACATATCATGATCCAGCGTGGCAGTTCCTTTACGCCGCGCCCTACCGAGTTCGTTAACCACACCAGGGGCAGCTCGTAGAACAATTGATTGGAGACCGCGGATCTGGCCAGCCGGCGCTGGTGGAGTCAGTGCTGCCTGCTTTGGCGACGAAGCCCGTGGATCTGTTGCATGGAAGCTGGGCCCGCCGCTAGTCCACCACGCGTCTCAGTCCATGGTGGCGCTTCTACTGGTACTGATGAATGGGCGATTGGGGGTAGATGCTCCCCCCCCTAAGCCAGCCCCCCCCTTTGTTGCCCCTCAGGGGCAGCGACAACTCGGGGCCGATTCCGATCAAACATCGGCCAATGCTGGCTGCATATCAGTGACTATACGCGGCGGTCGCTTTCCGCGACGCTACGCGTCGTGCGAAGTTCTCCGATCGGCACGCGAAATGCTTCAAAGGGCGCACAAGCACCTACCAGCGCCT